TTGATAATAATTCTCTTTGTTTAAACAGAAATATGGGTTGGTTGGGATAAAGAAATATAAGTGGAGTAAAGCATGCATAATTACATAGTCACCGAGGATATTTCCGTCTAAAATAAACCGTGTCAATCAATATGTTATACTAAGTTAAATAAATTAAATAGTTACCAAATATTTTATATAGGTATATAGATATATTTCTATGTACATATAAGCCTGGAAGCAATTTAACGACGAACTTTTCTTCCAGCAATTGATATAAATATCCTAAAAATAGAAAATTACGCAAATAATCATCTCACCGATATCTTTGTTTAAATCAGAACACCGAAATAATTTAAATGAAATCAATTTACATAGCCTGTATTATATTCAAATTGTATTCAGTGACCAGTAGACTCATAATGGTTTAAGAGATTTAGTCATATCGTTTATAAATCACGTTTTCTCAATGTATTTAACATATATCAATATTATTCTGATACCTTTGATGAAACTGTGTATAATTTTTGTCGTGTTTATGATGGAGAGTCGAGCGAAACGCAAATCTGTTGGTTACATATAAAAGGTATTTAGAAGAAACCATTGGTGCACGTATAGGTCTTCGCTACTAGCTACCTACCAACCCTGTTTATGGTAACTTCCAGTATTATTGTTGTTTACTATATATAATGATTTATTCTTGCAATAATTAACCTGATATGTTTTTCGTATTAATTAATCTGCTATATGAAACACATAAAGCGATAGGTACCTTATACTATGAACTCTTATAGACGTTATAAAAAAAATATATATATATTATCGACATTTCGTCGAATTAATAATATTATATTACGCTGTTCTATACAACTCTGTTTATTTTTAAACATAAAATGTAGGGTTTTGTTATGAAAACATTAAAATCCATCCTTCTCAGTATTTCCTGCAGTACCGTTTCAATCTATTTATACTGGAAATGTACACAGATTTATTGAGTATTTATTAAAACCAGTAAACCATAGCAGTATACAAATTGATGCTTTTCATATTTTTATCAATTATTCTGAAAACAACTTGTATGAATGCTTTCAAACATTGAATAAATAATATAGCTTCAAAAGAAGAGCATTCAAATTGTTACAAAATTTTGTTTCCGATACGTTGTTATTATTTATAAGTTGTTTTCTTTAGGAAAATATTTTTCTCTTTTTTAAAAAATTTTCACCTTTCTCTTTTGAAATAAACATTTTAAGACACGAACTTTGAACAATCACCTTAACTGACTTATATACAAAATTAAAAAAAAATACTATTATTTGAGATTCTGTTAATTAAAGACCGAAATAATAGAGAATTTTGAAAGATGAGGGTAGAAATACATCAGCTATGAATACATCATGAAACTGATAGTAGAGTTTATTTGATATATCACAACTTCCATTAGCATTTTATTAAATTTCCAATATCTATATAAAACTCGTATCGTTAACATTCTGATTGAACAGAACATGACGCCGAACAAATGCTTTTATTTATTCATAATTCTGTGAATTTAACGGCTAAAATTATAAAGCAAATATAGATTACTTATAGCTGGAAATAAATTGTGAAGTTTATTTTTGTTTAAACGAAATCAATCCCAATAGATCATTTTTACATGTAGAATAATCACTAATAAATAATATTGAGAGAATTAATTTACTTATAAATACCCACACATGTTCTTATAATACGATGTGTTCCTGTTATGTTATTCTATCAAAATAATCTTGAATATTTTGAAATCAAATACCAAATGTAGTTGTAAAAGAATCTATCGGATACATCTAGAGGATTGATTGAGAGCCAATCGAATAGCTAAATAGCAGTCCATTATCGATTTTCTGTGACACGATAAATGCCGTTCAGTCCACCCCTTTAGCCCATCAAAAACCTATTCAGCTCTTTTTAATCAGAGCTCTTTAAAATATCTTTTTGATCTTATAATTTTGTATATATCAGAACAAGCTTTTATACTGGCGTATGTAAACAGAATTCAATCATCAATGTATTCATTATAATGTAGGCCGTGATTGTTTCAAACAATTACAAATAGAAAATTTCCATTTATATAAGTTATTTTGAAATGTATACGAATAGAAATAAAAGTTTCATTATTGGTAAGGATTCTGTTTACACAATGACTAGCTAGCGCGAAGGTCAGGTTCACGAAATTGGGTCGCTCCGTGGGGGGATGATATTGGCCTTCGAATCAAACCTTATATTATATACAACATTAATATTATATTACGGAAATTGTCCCACGTATATGGACATAAATATAACATGTTTTGATCATAAAAGAAATTATAATCAGTAATCATGTTTCACGTGTAGGTAGATACATATAACAACATATTGTCATATATACAATTAATTCTATTTTACTTGTAATTTACTTGTAGTGATTTTTTTAAATTTTTGTCTCACAGCTGTTTAAAACGTTTTAAAATCACTTATGTGTACATTTTGAATGCGTTCGAGATTCTGGAATTAGGTCGCCAGTTTCTTTGCAACTGTGATGTTGGGCAATTTGGCTTTGTTATTCCAAACACCTATACTGGAGCGGCATATACATACTTCTTTGTCCGCTTAAATAGGTGAAAGTGACTGTGTTGCAAACAATTAAGACGAACTATTGTTACACATTGTCGATATTTTTGTAATGTATGAATAATAAATTATTATAATATTTTTATTGTATAGCAAAAGAGAGCTTAATTGGTAATGCTTCTGTTTCTAAGACCTCTCGAGATAATTGGAACAAAAAATATATACAATTTAAGTACGCTTATTCCTTAAAAGAATATAAAATAACAAATATATTATATTAAAGTAGAATAATAAGATTACGATCAATCAAAAATTTTCCATCTCGAGTTCAAATTAATATTTCAATAACAAACAAGCTGCTGTCTATTAAAAGTAAAGGAATGACGGTGCTTTGTTTCTTAAAAATGTGAGTACAAAACCTGATGAATACACGCCGGTGACCCAGTTAACGTAAGATGAGCTATCATTGACCCACTGGCCGAGTGAACTTGGTTTAAATACCCTAAATATTCCGGCCACCCTCGCTCAAACGACCCCTACCGCCCGTGGCACTACGCTGTTTTATTTAACCGTACCTAATAAATGTCTTGTCCCATTTACATTTCAAATGCTCATCAACTTAATAGTCATTGTTAACATGTCGTTACAGCAACGACAGTTTTTTTTGTTATAATCTATTTCACAAACGAATTTCGTTGAAAACAAATTATATATAGAGGTGTTTTAATTTTCTATTTCGTTATATTTTTGAATACGACCGACATATTTCGATGTACTTCGTTTTGATGTTTCGCAATATTTATAGCATTCTCTTGTAAATTTTTTATTTTATTGTCTAGACTCTAGACTGTAAGTATTTTTAAAATACAAGGAATCTCTACTTCGGCTGTACATGAATATAGTATGGAGAGCTTAAAAATATCTCGTTTGGAACAAGTTAAAATTTAAACGTCTTCCTTGTGTTAAACATGATATTTTTATTTAACTAGAATAATGAATAGCGAAGTTTCGTTCTATAGATGAAGTTAATCATGCAAAAACATTTGAAACTTCTATAAGTTCTTAGCTGCAATAATGAAGAACACGGGCAACTTTGTCTTAATACGCCTACGGAGCAAGTTAAAACCTGAATATTATTAATTAGTACATAATAAAAACAACTTGAATATATTATTTTATGTAAACAATTTTCGAAACAAATAAAACTCTCGAATAGGTCCTCTCAAAATAATTATGGTTAAGTAGCTCATTAGACTCATTGAATATTTTAAGGTAATTTCGTAATATATTCAAAAATGTGTTTTTGTTAGCAAAAATGGCGAAAACTTTGATATTAGATTTGCTCATTGTTAATAATTATTTTAACTAGTTTACCCATCTCACGGTTGGGCATTTTTAATAAAATGTTTCGACTTCTGTGTTAAAATTTCATTTATTAATATTGAAATTATATTTTCATATCATACGATAAAGGTACTATAATATCTAGAGATGTATTTCAAACAAGTGGTATATTTTCTATGCACATTTTCTGGGACTATTCACGGTTGAACGATAATTATGCGTCTATTACACTTTGACAGAATGGTGTTATAATTCTACTCTTCTTACTAAGACGGGTTTTGCATAAAAGATTTTCTAAGCAAGGCTTAAATTAATTTCTTTTCTTTACCTTCAATGTTTCTTAGACCGTTACTTTGCTCGTCTTCTCGAAAAATTAACGTCGCCGTTGGTTTTATTACGGTACTAACACTTTTAATTTATATCAAATGATGGCTATGCTTTTACAATATTTTTGTCAAATATATATATTTTTAATTTACCTAATCACTCAAACCACGCGAACATAATACCTAACAATTAAATGTCATTATGTATTTATACAAAAAAATCAATACTTGCAAAAACATAATAATAATGACAAATTTAATATGCTAGTTAATGTTAAGATGAAAAACTAGCACTCGATCTAGTTGGTAACTCTATCAAAAACCGCTTGACATAATAATCTGAATTTAGCGATAAACTCCAAAAATATTTTTTTTTATCTAGCAGTCTCATTAAACTGTTCGTGGGTTTTCTTAATTAGCGATAGTCATTGTACTGGCTTAATTAAAAAAGTTATACGAGTTTCATTTTTTTTTTTTGTATGAAACAAATTGACCCATTTCCAAGCTTGTATGCAAATTGACATGTTCTGTTGCTGCAATGTTTCTATTGCTCTTTAGATGTTGCTCTCGTACCGAGGGTTCATGCAATCACTTGTATTATCATAGTATATTATATGATGAGAATCTTATAAGAAAACTTAACATACATTAAATTCTCACTAAAGTCCCAAGTGGAACATTACTAAATGAATGTTAAACACTTAAATGCAAAACGTACAACGAATACAAAAAAGCCCGCATAAATGTTTAAGTTACAATATGTGGTATCGTTCTGTGATAATACAATTGGCTGTGCGCCTATTACTTCACTATTACGATGAGCTACATCTTGCGTCAGAGGGCGGGGAAAGTGTGACGTCAGCGGCGCGCATGCGAAGAAAGCAAAGTTGCGCATGCGACCGCTCAGCGGGCACTTTTGCTTTCGCAGGAGGCCGTAACGTCTCGCCGATAGCGAAAACGGTTATACCTACCTTCACTGTCACTTTTTGTACGTTATTCAGGTCTCGATTATGACATCGAATATTATTGACTCATTGCAACTTACACGTTGTGTGCTTTTAGAGAGGCTGCGTGTACAGATGGCAGGTTGTTATTGATTTATATCAATATTATACAATGTGTGTAGATTGATTAAATATGCACGAGATTTTTTTTGGTTAACTATCTATAGAGTTTAAATTTCCAATCGTAACTGGAATTTTTTTGTTACATATCTTCCTACTGTTTTTATCGTTAGATCCGTCTTTGTAACCTCTGTGTGACTCGTGACATTAAAATACTATGTGTTTCAAGTCAGATAGTTTGAATAGATTCTTTTTTTATACAAAAAAGTAATGGGGAAAATTCATAACAACTTTTATTTTTATAAAATCCAGGGTTAAATTATAATGGAAAAATCATCTTGTTCTATATAAAGAAATAATTATTCAGACCGCTGTTTCTCTTGAATCATTTTCCTTTCTTTCTAATACGTTTATAAAAAGGATTACAATGGAGTTTTAAATATTAAATCACAGTTTTAAATTCACTGTAAAACTGACGTGATATTTTTATGAAAATTTAATTAATCTACGAGTCTAGTTGATTACCATGATAATTTAATAGTTTATGAAGGATTTGTTATGAATAATAATAAAAAATGTTTGTTACTTCGTACGGCCATGAAAATATAAATACTAGTGTGTCAATTATTCTCCGTGGTCATCTTTCTCTAATGACACGCGTGCTTTATGGCAGTATTCTCAGTTCATTAGTTCTCTCAGCAAGCACAAGGCTGTCACAGACAGTCACTCGTTCGTGACCCCTCGACTGATTTTAACCAAAACCAGGTCAAGATCTTAAATTTAATTCTTTTTTGATACTGTGTTGCTCCGTCTTAACACCTCCGAAATGATCTTTAATACTACTGTCGGGTCTAATATAATGTGTACATCTGTTTTTAGTTCAAGTACTAATATGTTAATTAAGATTTTGTTTATTAACGATTTTATATGCATTAGTATAGGTAATAATTAATAATAATTATGACGGTCTAATTATTCAAATTCTACGTTTTATAAGTCGAATCCGTAAATATATTATCGTAGACGTCAGTAAATATTTTTATAGTATTTCTTTTAATTCGCCTTGATTAGTATCCTCTATGATTGTAAGGGTTGGTAGTGACGACATTGGAAATGCGGTGTGTAGTATGTTTCTGTTGGACATTTAGTGTGCGAACGTAAACATAAGCTCGTTTGCGGCAACCCTGCCCTGGTGTGGCACCGCGCGCAACTGGGTCAGTGGGCCGCCCCCCGCGCCGTCCCCGAGCGAGCGGTGGCGCAACCGCTCGAACGCGCACTAACATAGACCTGGATCGCGGGAAAGTGGGTCACCGACTCACTTTCACTTATTACATGGGCTCCTAATCGTTTTCCATTGTACGGACGGGCGGGGGTTCGCGGGTAGCGGCGGGGCGCGCATGCGGGAGGCGCCGGCACGCGCGGCATTGTCGCCGGCCGGCCGCCAGTCGATCGTGGAACGTCTAGCGAGCGGCACATGTGCTGCCTCCACTCTCACAACACTCACAACGATCGTAGAGACGCGCCTCGTCAACAAATTATATATACCTAAATACTTTACAAAGCCACACCGCTCTTCGTTTCTGTCTCCGTGTTCGCCGTCAGAATATAATTCATACCGAGTACTAGAGGAAAAAATGTGCTGGATTTATGTGTCTTTGAGTATAGTGATTGAACAGGTGCAGCTCGCAAGCGGCAGATAGTGTTGCGGTCAGACCGCCAGTGAACTCAGTGACTGTGTGAACGTTGTCGCGGTTGAACGCCGCCGTAGGGATACACACACTAGTACTAGCAGCCGCTGAGTGCGGCCGAGTATGACGATGGACCAGCAGACAGGCCTCATGTCTCTAAACATGTCCCCGTTCGACCTCAGTCCGGGCCCCGAGGGGTCCGGCTCGGGCGGTGGGCCCTCGGGTGCCTCCCAGCAGTATGTGCCACAGGGCGCCGCTTATCAATGCACGTCAGACCAACAGCCATTCGGCTACGCAAACCTGGATGCTTCATATCTCTTTCCAACAGGTGCCGGAAGCGAATCTGGAGCTTATTTACCAGCAGCCGGGACTGTCTGCGATCAAACCGACACCAAGGACGTCATAGAAGAGCTCTGTCCCGTCTGTGGGGACAAGGTGAGCGGTTACCATTACGGGCTGCTCACTTGCGAGTCCTGTAAAGGGTTCTTCAAGAGGACCGTTCAGAACAAGAAAGTATACACCTGCGTCGCGGAGCGCGCCTGCCACATTGATAAAACACAGAGGAAACGATGCCCATTCTGCCGCTTCCAAAAGTGTCTCGACGTCGGCATGAAACTTGAGGGTAAGTCCTATCAAATAGCATCTTCTATTAATACAAAGTTTTATAAAGCAACTTATAGTATTTAGTCTGGCAACACGATATACACGTAGTAGAAGTAGGTCAAGTAGGCAGCAGCTACCGGTCCGGATGGTATTACATCATAAAGCCGAAGTAAAATTCACTGAAAGCCGAATGTTTGCATCAGCGAGAATTCCGTAATGGAACTTCATTTATGTTTCATTTTAATGATCTATAACCGACTTCGAAAAATTAAGTATGTCACGCTTACGAAAACACTTGTCTCACTTACGTAGTCTTCGTGATACAATGATTACAAATCCGGATTACCACCAGAACGACAATGTTCTGTACAGAATACTCAATTCTGAACCGACAAGCGGAGACAATTGAAACTTTAATTGACACAAAGAAACATCGCATAAAACTTATTTCAAGTGCTCAACGTAAAATAATATATAGGGTTCTGACATATATGTAGTTTTATGATTTCGTGTTTTTGAGATTGAAATGAAAGACTTTCTATAATATTGACCCTCCTTATATTATCAAAGGTTTTCGTGAAATTCTTTGAAATATAATCGGTACTGATGTAAAAATATTAAAAATTCACTAGATTTCTTTCTGTATTTAAAAAAACGTTATTTTCATTGTTTATGAACATTAAAACTTAAAGGGCGAAATCCATTACTGGAATCTTTTAAAGTAGATTAAAAAGGTCTCATGAAAATACATAGAGCGCATGCAATCTAAATTATTTGTCTAGCCCTCGGCCTACACACCAATTTCAAAATGACAAATGGTGGTTCTGTAGATATAGAAACGACAATTGTTTTGAACATTCAGAGCACCGAGGATTTGGTGCGGCGGCAAAATGTTGCAAAACACTTTTAGAACTAGAAATATCTTGTTTCAGTAACAAATACGAACGTAATCATAGTTTACTTGAATTTCATACCTAAAAAATTATTAGTCTTGTTTAAGTCTGTGGTAGCCACGAATTCTCTGTCTGACTATAATCTGCAAGTTTTTTTTGTAAGCGCCAAAACCAGTGTGACGCAACTTTCGAAAGTTTCATACCTAGAGGGTTCTTATTTCTTAAGTTTAAGCAATCCCCTGTAAAAACATGTTGTTTCTAGTCTTACTTCTTACACAACTTGACCACTAGCCCTGTTGTACCGACAAAAAAGGGGTCGGTACAACAACAGGATACATACATATTTGTATCTACGTCAGAGGAAATAACTGTGGGAAACGTATAGTTTTCGCGGATTCTTTCTTAGTTTAGTTTTTTGTGAGTCATCATTGACATTCATTAGATATTATAAACAGAAAGATTCACCTGCTACCTCAATCAATTTGTAACAAATTATTCGAGGTCGCCGTAACTAGTAGAGGAATATCTGCGTTAGCGATTTAATAATAAACATTGTTTGACACACATTTTACGGCCTTTAGTTCGAATGGCATTTGGCAAGTGAACTAGTTCTCAATAAATACGACCGTTTAACGTTATAAAAAAATATATAAATTGTATGCGGGCGTGGTATGTCATGTTTTGACGAACATATATAAATGCGTTGTACAGGTAATAGTTTTAAAGGTTAATACGTTGTCAGTAGATCGCGAGGGGCGTTGTATAAAACGCGTATCGTTCTAAATTTAAAACGCGCGCGGCCGCAGAGCGCCCTGACCTAGTTGCCAGCGGGGCCGCGATGCGGCGCGCGCGCTGCTCACTGCTGTGCGTGCATGTACGCAACGCGAGGTTGCCGCTGTGTGCGTGAGACATTCGCCATTGCGAGTTTCGCCAGATGCTGCGATGTTTGCAACATTCATTAATTTACCTGCACTGAAATTTTCATTAAACATTACGGGCGGGAAGACGGATCCTTATCACCTAGAACATAATGCGGGAGGATCGGACCTTGAACTAAATTGATATTATAAAAATAATATGTACCAGTTTGAGTGTTTTTGTTTCTCTTGAAACGTTTAATCGTAATCAAATATACTTGACTATCGTCCAACTGTAGAGCGTTCAAATTATGTAATTCGGTCGTTTCAAACAAAACTAGTTCATAGGAATCGACCAGAAGTCATTTCAGTAACTAATACACTTCTATCGGGTCCTGGTTGACATAAGCCGCGGTTCACTACTATGAAGGTCGATCAATTACTTCACCTAACGAGAATATAACATACTTTGTCTTTCCATTTCTCACTTGTCATTTGCGTCTTACTAAAAGTTTCATTACTGGCTTATTTCTTATACGCCCATCAATTTCAGATCTTTTAAGTATAAAAAAACGCAAACTCCAGAAAAACTCGTATATTATCCAGTGAGTCTTATTAAAATCAGAACAGTCGTATCAATAGTTACCAAGTGGCTCTGCCAAGATATGTATATGTGTGTTTAAGTTTATATATTGCCATAATGTTAAGATCTACTACACTTGAGAGATCAAAGTATCTAGAACTGAAAAGTATATAATATCAAAAGTATATTATTAAAATATACCTTATGATTTTCTAAAAAACAAACACCCTAGAAATAAACACAAGCGTTACTAGAAATACACAAAGAAATAACATTAATTACTAATATTAGAAGCAAATAAATGGGCCACTAAACCAAAAAAAACCTACTAGAATCTAGTTGGAATTTGTCGAAATATCTCTGATATCAACAAAAACCTCTGATATAGTGGTACAAGTAACTCTGCGTCATAAGGTTTTCCTCCGACCTTTAATGCTTCTGTTGCATGTCGTAGCTATTATTGAAAACTGCATAGACTTTAGGTATGAAAAGTTTGTAGAAATTTCTTCAAAGTTACCTAGCGTAACTTATCTAACTACCTAAAAGAGCGTTGATTTCGATATCAGCTGACAATTTTACGTCTTCATCGATGTTCTTAAATCACAACAAATTTGAATATCTTTTCTGGAAGGAAACTTTATCCAGGACTAAAGTATATTCAAATAGATATGACGCTTAAAACTTCGGTTGCAAGCCATTGTATTCTCACCACGACATTCCACGCTCGCGATGATGAAAGCGATGCACTGCAAGGAAGTCTACTCGAGAGTTCTTTTTTTTGTCGTGTGTCATATAAAACTCCACAAAAGCGTCAGTTATTTGCTTAACGCCTAACCCTCGCCCACCTTCCGCGGCCTACATTTTTATGATGACGCAACACGTCTTAACAGAGTTCGATGAATGTAGCAATCGAAGGCACCACATCATATATATTCATACACAATCCCGACATATGTTTTTTTGAATATATTCTATGCTTTATTTGTATACATTCTCATTGAGATATGTCTATAAATAGAACACTATGTCCTCATATTTCCTATCAATAGTTGGTAATTGATTTATGGACCAAGCATCAAGCTAGCATTACCTCAGGATGCATCGATGCCTATATTACGATTGAATTATCTGGGAGTTAGTGAGGAAATTAGATTATTATCTGCCGACACTAATTCAATATCGAATGGACCTCTGCTTCATCCAATTTGCTTGTTATATGTTAAAACAAAATCTAAATGTTGAAAATTCAATGTGTCCTCAATAAAATACTTTCACACGTTTATTTATAGTAAGCTGGCATACCGAGTTTTTATTTTAAATTTATTTATTATAATACAGTATTATCTTATTTAATACTTAAACGATGTTACGTCATCTATTCGATTGCTTAAATTTAATAGCAGCGCTAGAAACTTTGTAAATTACCAAATTGTATTGTAATTTCACTAAAAATAAACAATTATTTAATTAATGTTAAATTTCGGTCAGAGTATCCATTGTGTTCTTTTTCTAGACCTGAATTATTTAGATATATTTTCGTAATATTCAAATATGGTATTTAAAGTTGCTGTAACGTACAATCTATATAGTCACGAATCGTTTCGCTATTAATAAAATTCAACGCTCGAACATTGACATTCGCACAATTTAGCGCTACTTTTATTTTAAATTGATGTTGAAATCATTGCTCAGTTATAATGCAATGCCCTACTGTTAATGTAATGGCTTGAGGTTTGAAATTACAAAATTTTTATTTGATTTCGACTACAGATGCCACGCTTCAAACATATGTACATAAACCCATGAGTTATACGAAATAACCATAATAAAATATCACCATACATTCAATAAAACAACAAAGTAATAATATTTTTACTGTATGTGTTTCTAAAATTGGAGCATTATTCAAAATATATGTAATAATGCAATAAAACATATATGTAAGATGACACAATTCTCACAAATCGCTCGACCTCAATAGCTGTTGCGCGAGGCTCAGTGCCTGGCCGACCTGAACCGCGCCTTGTGCAATCTACTACGGTGCTGAATTAACAGCACTACAGTAGATTTCGCTTTCGCTCCTCTTAAACTACGATAAAAAATCATATTTCACTACAAACCCACCAATATCTTATCCAAAATAGCATTCTAGCAAACCTTTCTGTGTAATTTTCATGTTTATAAACCTTGAACTAGAATTACAACATTTCGGTTTACCTAGTTAAAAATGTTAATTTATTTTTAGATCTTTCTAATAAAAATCATTACCATTTCAAACGAAACCCCAAAGGTCATCCTAATTACGATCTGTATAGCCGCTTATTAAGCACTAAACAGCAATCATTATGTTCATTCTGCTTGCAAATCTGTACTTAATATTTTAAATTGCCATTGAGAAATTATACTTCAATTACGTAAACTTATCTGAGCTACTGACATACAAAGAACTTAAAACCAGCTACGGCTTGAGAAATCCTCATGTAATAATTCGTAACTGCTTAATTAGGAATAAATATAACAGTGCTTCAGTGATTTCCAAGCTGTTTATTTAGGAAGGAAGTTTAGGGAAGGTTCACAAAGGCTGGGCAACCCTCGTCGACGAGTAAGCCGGGTGTGCGGTATTCGTTCACTTCTAGTGAGTTTCGACATGAGTCACGAGCGCCGTTGGTGGGGTGGGGTGAGCTGCGCAAGCGTCGTTTCATAAGACGACTCAGTCGACCTGTCGCAATGCACCACCCAAATGTGACCCGAACACGTATAAAACACATCAGCTCCTTGGATGAGCGAGCGGAAAAATTTAACACCTACACTACTAACATTCGGTACCGTACAACTACAACTGTAGCCCGAAAATGTTGATTGGCATCAATTACGACGTAGTAATGTCATGTTGATAATTTTATGGTTAGTACGGTGAATGTTTCTATGTTTTACAACAGCTACGTGTTCGGTCGTCAGAGCTCGATAGTAATTTATGTAACGGACAAATTGTTGTAACATTGATCTTCTGTTACAAGATCAAGACAATCTCGCTTAGTTTCATCGACGCAGCATCCGCTGTAAGCTGAAACTGACCGTTCTGTTTGTGTTATCTAAATGGAGGTTATTAAAAACTAGCTAACATCATCAATTGATTCAGCTCCACAAATATAATGATGGTTGTTACACGGACCGCTGGCCGCCCTGCTCGTGCCACCTTACATTATATAACGTCACCGCTTACAATGACTGTTCTACCGTTGAATAAGGTTTATAGTTCCCATGCTTTGAACGTTTTAAATCTCTAACGTTTAACATAGATCAAAAAATCGCTAGAACGACTTATTGGAGTCTTCCTTTATAGATGAAACCAGTCTAATAAGATTACGATCTTCATATCAGCGATGTGTTTTTGCTTCGCTGTTCATTTTTGCTGATTGCTGTAAGTAATATAATATAATTACATGGCGCAGCAGTAATTCGATGTCAGTAGTATCGTACGCTAGCGGCTCGAGACAGATGTTAGATCATAATAAAAACGCGCGCGCCAGCATACTATTTCGGCGCGCTGCCTTGACCCGAATCGGTTGTTTCGACAGCGGCCTCGCACACCGGGCCTTTCTATTTTTTAGGTATTACCTGTCTTATTATTACGACAGACCTAGGGGCGTCGCCATTTTGGAATTATCATATTTTAGTTCACGGACTTCTTTAGTCAGATCGCAATGCCGAATTTTAACCGTTCATTTTTTATATCCACTATCGTTCGTCACCAAGAAAATTTCGAGCTTTAATGGTTCTACAACAATGTATCTGGTGTTATGAACGACACTTACGTAATCAGAACTCATTAATCTGGGTCAAATAAGAATCTAGTTTGATTCTCATCAAAGACGTCGTCTTAAATACGTGGATAAGATCTTGACACAGTTCGGTAGATGATCGGCGATGATTTATCTCGGGGCTCTGGTGTTGTGTAATGAGTGAGCGCTCCGCTATCTAGGGCCGCGATCATGTACGTGCGTTCCTAAGTGGGAAGCATTCGCCGCCGCTCGGCTCCGCTCGGCTCCTTCCGTACAAGGAGGGGAAGGGAGCGGAGGGGCGGGAGGGCGTGAGGAGGGGAGAGGGGAGCGTGGACGCTTCAGCCTTGACCAAGTTTCACTGACTCGTCGGCACAAGGAGCGTTCCCCACCTCGTCCCGTCCTTTCGGAATACTACTGTTTTTTTTTTATCTCGATGACACGATTACTCCATTCGAAGGCCCTCGCTCTCGTAGCAAGATCACAAAACCATTAACAATTACGACTTCTGAACGGCCAGTTAAACTTCAAGAGCGTTCATTTCGTTGTACAGTCTTGACAAATCCTTCGCTCACATCGACCTTGACCCATCTCGAGCAACTGGGTCATAGATCTGAACGGCTGTAGGTAGGATGTTATGTTAGCTCTACTCTCGCGAACATCTATTTTGGCCCCCTGCTTGTTTGTCATAGTGCCGCATGTTTTTTGATTTGTAAGAATGACCTTGACCTTGATCTAGTTTGGTCATGTAATAAACGGCTGGCCTCGTTACGTTATTATCGGCTACTATCGCGTGCTTATTATAATAACATTAGATGATTAAAGTCTTAAGTGTTCCTAATACCGATTTTAATGGTCCCCAACTATTATTATATTTGTATTATACGGCCGTTGACAGACATATACGCTCCTTTATCTCAGACATCGAGACACGACGATTGGAATTGAAACGTGAATGCTGCAGTAAATAAAAAAAAATAGCCGTACGGAAACTTTTAAACATTCGCCTCGTTAATATACCGAACTATATGTATCAGGATATTATATAGTTAGTCATAACACCTACCTTAGTCACGGTATCCGGTTAAAGAGTTTGGTTGAATGATAAATTATATGTCATTTAACTATTACTTATAAAACACTATAATCTATCAATATATTAAACATAATTTGTTTGCACGTCTTGTTAAATCATGATGTTATTACGAGAACAATTTAATCAATGTATTTTCAATTAGTTTGGCAGTAATGAAAATTATATTAAAAGTATCCTAAAAATAACTATTCAAAGTCTCCAATATAAGATGTTTATGCATAAACAATTCTAAAGCTGTACAAAAATATGACAGAGGAGCGATTGTAGTAGTGGTGCCATTAAACCGTAAAGCATCCATCAGAAGTCCATTAGCTTCAGTAACATAAATGCTTTCATGAAAACATTCAGCAGTGCGAATCTCTCGCCATCACGAACAGCACTTAAATCCGTTACACAGTGTGTCTCATTTAGATGTTCCACGTGCCCCATAACTGCATCCTTATCGCACCGAGCCGTTGGCTACATTAAAAACTGGTTGTTATTTTTAACTCGACGGTTGGCCGACTCACAATTTACTGAAAGACCCTTTTCCGTTCCTCGTTCACATGTTTACTTACAGTTAACAATCTAGTTCTTAGTACTCTGGTTTTGTGATCCGCTTTTTCGATGATACGATTCATTGATAAGTTATATCGCTTCGGTAGATTATGTTACTTGGTTGCTAGTTTAATTCTTATCTCAATGAGACCTTTTATTGTATACAACGTTTATTATTAATACGGATCCCACTAAAGTGGTAAATATGCGTAGATTTTTATCAATAAGTGTTATAGCCAAACTTCTTTCAATATGGCTCAGTATTCCAATAGTCTTATATTAGTTGCCGACTAAGAATCGGTACGAACATAAATTGCTGCTATCGCAAGGAACTCTCGCTTAAAATTTGGAATTCAGCCAGAACAGTAAAGAGCGCTTGAGTGTGTGCGTCGTAAGGCCGCTGTCCTAAATTTCAAGCCTACGTTATAAAATATTTATTGAACAGCATACAATAATAATCAATGAAAGGAATCCGTTCTCACACGGGCCATACCTCGCGTCGGCATTTTATCACGTTAGACCTGATAACATTTATATCCCGTCCATCCAGAATTTAACTACTTCGGATGTTTATATAATATTTATAGATAACATTTTTTTTTTATGTAAATTCGTCTGCAACGTCTGCATGTCTGTTATCCAAGGCTTGATATGAGATAGTAATATTAACAATTGAATACCTATGAATAATTTAACGATTTGTTATAGTAAGTAATTTAACAGTCGTGTCGTTTCTTGTTCCAGCCGTACGTGCGGATCGCATGCGTGGCGGACGTAATAAGTTCGGCCCCATGTACAAACGCGATCGCGCCAGGAAACTGCAAATGATGAGACAAAGGCAAATCGCTGTTCAAACGCTGCGGGGTTCGCTCGGCGACAGCGGGATAGTGCTCGGGTTTAATTCACCGTACGCGTCGGTGCCAGTCAAACAGGAAATACAGATCCCGCAGGTGTCGTCGCTGACGTCATCGCCCGAGTCGTCGCCGGGGCCGGCGCTGCTGGCAGCTCAGCCTCAAGCCGCCCAGCCTCCGCCTCCTCCCGCTCACGACAAGTGGGAGACTCACTCGCCTCACTCGGCGTCGCCCGACGCGTTCGCGTTCGACGCGCCCGCCACCACGGCCGCCACGCCCTCCAGCACGGCCGAGCCCACCAGCACCGAAACGCTGCGAGTGTCGCCCATGATACGAGAATTCGTTCAGACCATCGACGACAGGGAGTGGCAAAATTCACTGTTCGGACTCTTGCAGAGCCAAACCTACAATCAGTGTGAAGTGGATCTGTTCGAGTTAATGTGCAAAGTGCTGGACCAAAACTTGTTCTCTCAAGTGGATTGGGCGAGAAACACCGTGTTCTTTAAGTATCTAAAGGTGAATTTCCAGATAAGTATGTAAATCCTGTCCCCGATCCCTGAACCCTTTCCGAGGTGTACACCAAATTTGCTGGCGAATGTTGCGAATATTGCTCTGCTATTTCATTGTATATATACCATTGAGATATCATTGATTTGAATGTTATATGTCAATGGCGACGCGAATTATTTATTATTACCTAATATATAATGCATATAGAGTGTGCCATGTGGATGGTAAGTAGAGGCGCGTGTGACGCATCAGACGGTGCGGTGTTAGTGGCAATCGATAACTCGACCCACCCGCGCCCCTTCTAACCAACTGGGTCAAGTTCCCACGACAAGCATTCTGCCCACTGCTGCCGTTTTCTTTCCATAATAACGAACGACTGCTGCCCCATTTCGACGTTCACTTACCTTCAAATTCTCGTGCAATCATAACTCTACACGTTAATGCCATAGTCGATGTCGTATCGACAGTTTATTGGTTCCAATAACAATATAGGTCTCGCCGGGGGTAAATGTAATGTGTGCTGCCTGGCGACGTTGTTGTCGTACGCTTACGCAAGAGTCGCAGCCGGTCACGTGGTCGCGCGACGTTGCCGCTCCGTGCATCCCGCCGTCTCGCTCCGTCAGACAACTTCCACACCACAACTAGCAATTTTCATTTGTTCCAAATGACGCGACTTGTTTACGACCCATTCTCAGAATTAGGCCGGCCGACGAAACGTGTACATGAATCTCACGTTTTATCACTGCCGAAGAAAAAAATATACGGAACGGCGATAATTTCGAATCCGCTCCCCATTATAGATATGTTTCGGTTCGTTCCCTAGTGTACCCCGCGGGATAGACGCGTGTTGATGACCTACGCTTTCTCCAGACGGATGTGTTGTAAGCGTTCGGGACGGCAACGCTGCACTTTCCTCGCCGCACTTGACACATTGCCCGTGGCCGAGTTGCCGCGAGAAAGCACTTTTTACCCGCGTAACCGCTAACGTAACTAGTTACGTCTTGCTTTCTCTTACATAATACACTATAACTATGGAACGACGGCCGCGCCATACACTATGAACTTGCGTATCGATTGTTTTAAATCTTTTTTTATTTAAATAATAATTCTGAAACAGAACGTCAGTTATACATTTCAAAATTGTTGTAACAAAAAGGTTTTATGAAATTAAAACAAAAAAATATTTCATAGTAAAAATGGTAACATTCGATCATAACAAAAATGTACGTAAATAAAATTTAAATCAAGATTATGTATTTATGTGGATGGATTTGTGGTATGTTGATGCGATACCAATGTTATCTGTCGCGCGGTTTGATTGATGTGACTTTGACCCACATACTACTAGGCTAGTATCGTCTAGCAAGTCCGGCCAAGGAAAACTAACGCCGGTGTACACTATCATACGGCCGGACGTTTATTAATACGCGCTAATCATAAAGCGCCATCTTCATAGCAGTCGCGTCTCGTACAACGCACATAAACATTGCTCTGTTTCTATGAGACGCGATAAATCAAATCGAATCTCAATATGATTTAATATTATCTAATCATCGTTAAATTTCGCAATAACTATAGTTCTGAGTCCAGTTTCATTCATCGTTGAGCAACCTAGCAATAGGCCATAGCTGTAGAATACATTTGTTATATTTCGTAAACTGTGAATTTCGCTCGCACGCCCCGTGTATTCTAATGCAACAAGCGTCTTATGTGGGTCACGGAACGAGTGACGCCAACTTCGGCTCCGACTTGTCAGATAGTGGTTCGGCTCGAGATAACACAGAAATTGTTAATGTAATTGGCACGAGCATTTATATTCACTGATACTAGTAGCTTGAAGTTATGAAAACGTCGCGGCAGATTCAAGGCAGAATGCTCTCTACATGGTACACGCTCCATAATGCCCTCCCCGTTAAGAACACAATCTGGTATCGCTGTGTATGGATTTGATGATTTACATAAAATTAACAAGCCTGAGCGAATTTCGTTTATGTTCCGTTCACTTCGATACTAGAAGCAAGTTATATCCCAGCGCTGATACGATGAATGTTCACTATATATGTGTTGTGCAATGTTTCAATATATTGTTATAGGTAGACGATCAGATGAAGTTGCTTCAGAACTCGTGGTCGGTGATGCTAGTGTTGGACCACCTGCATCAACGGATGCACAACGGTCTGCCGGATGAGACGACGCTGCACAACGGCCAGAAGTTCGACCTGTTATGTCTAGGGCTGCTCGGTGTCCCATCACTAGCTGATCACTTCAACGAGCTCCAGAACAAACTCAGCGACCTCAAGTTCGACGTGTCCGATTACATCTGCGTCAAATTCCTTCTACTACTGAATCCCGGTTAGTATTATATGTGATACATAATATATAATATGCTAAGCGAAGGTCATTTTCATGTATATGTATGTACGTGCAACTGTCTGTGATACATCTTGTACAATGTTGTGTTGTTTGAAGAGTACTCTCGGGTTTCAGAGGTGAGGGGTATTGGGAACGTGAAATGTGTGAGGGACGGCTACCACACGGTGCAGGCTGCCCTGCTAGACTACACGCTGACATGCTACCCCGGGATAACGGTAATGATATAGTTACATACATACACACACACACATACATACATACACACATACATACACACACATACATACATACATTCATATATACGACACAGGTATTCCGATCAATAACAGCTATTACCTATTAGACAGCACGATGATTACTTCACGATTCCGTTGACATTTACGTTCGTGAAGTATTCGGGTCGTTACAAATAGTAATAGAAAGTTAAGTTACTTAGAACAGTTTAGAGTTATGACGAACGATCTAAATCTAATATATTATATATGGTATAATATAATTAATAATAATGTATGATGATGTTAATTTCAGGATAAATTCGGCAAGTTGGTGATGGTGGTTCCTGAAATTCACGCTCTCGCTGCACGCGGCGAGGAATATCTTTACCAGCGACATTGCGCAGGACAAGCGCCCATGCAAACATTACTCATGGAAATGCTTCACGCTAAGCGCAAGTAAGATATATACATATATAATACATATATATTATATACCACATATAGAAACACCAAGTACATATTGCTAAGATACTATAAAACGTACATATATTACGTTAGTGAATTCAAAATATAAATCAGAACGATATATGTTAGGAAAATATGTAAAGCGTTTAAGCAATATACATACAACGAAATATATATTAATTATAAAAAAAATTATCATTAATTAGAATAACACAAAAAAAATAATAAGCTGCGTTATTATAATTTAAAAAAAATAATATTATCTGTGGTGTGTTACAACACTGACTTAATAATTCACGCTCTGTAAAACACGTTAACTATCATTCGTTATGTTATATGTATGTTAGTTGTGGTATACATTATGTATATGTTATGTACTATATGGTATGAATATGTCGATGTCTTATTCTAGGCCCAATGTCGCCGAAATGGTTAACCGCAGTTCCGAGCACACGTCGACCCTCGACAGATTGTACGTTATATATATAATATATATCATAATAATATATAATAATTATCTAAATACATAATTAAGAGTTGCCAGCTCTATATTTCTTAAATTATCATTTTTGTAGCTGGCAACTCAAAACATCACCTTCACTAATTAAGATTGTAAATATATCTGTCTCATTATTTATTTATGTATGTATATACATATATTTCTTAAATCTCGAAATAAATTTTTGCATGCATATATTGGTTGAAAAGTTGGTAAAGGAAATGTTAGGAGTATTCATACATATACATAATAAATAATAATTTTCCTGAACGTTATATGTTAGGCGGTTTATAGTATGATATACGAGCATAATTTAGCATCGCTTAATGTGAACAATTAGTATTATTTATATCAGTTAAATGGACATTATTTTAATTGGTGTTCATCAGGTGCGGTTTCCAGCCAAACGATACGATTGAGCCGCAATCTCCTATATAGTGTAAGCGTTGTAGTATTCACAATGCACTATTCACTAAGCACCCAAAACGGTCAAGGAATAATCAACTCTATGCAATGTACATAATACATACAGTGCAATGCGGCTTAATCGTTTAGTTTTGCACCAAAGAAAACCTAATACATAATATGTCATTCGTAGATAGAAAGCATTACAGTATTTTATAATTAACTATATATGGTGACGGTATATAATATGTATTAGATAATATTTTTATACTTATATATATGTATATAATAATTAATTTTTATATTGTATTACAGATCCTGAAATAATGAAGATTGAAACGTAGCTGTGAATGCCGGCGTCTAATATGATATCTGTTGGGGATTATCATTACAATACATTACTTATATAGTGTTAGATTATAAATTGGTGTGTGATTAATAAGTTATTTAGCGTCTTGAGACGCCTAGTCCCAATACGTTCGTTTATCACCATAATCTATGTAAAATACAGTATATATATACATATATTTATATATATAAAAGTACATGTAAACCGTCTGTGTTGCTACCATTAATTTATTGAGCACTTTTACCACATCATGATGTTTTAAAAAATTATTAAGTGTTAGATATAAATAGTATGTCGTAAATTAATGAGTGGCGTTCTAAATATATATATAAATATATAAAAAAAATACATATTTTAGGAAAGCGTCTGTGATTTTATAATGAAAATGTGGAAAGGTTATTCGTTAGTGTATATGAGCATATATGTCTAGTGTATTATGTGTATGCGTTACTTATGTACAGGCGGGATGTGTGCCCGCGTGTTTATTGTAGTTAATGGGCTGAGAAAAATTTTAGAATTTTATTAAAGTTGATATTTGAATATTAAATCCTTCTATGTATATCACTATGACGTAAGAAAATTAAGCACTACATGATCACGTTAAAATTTTACAGTTGTTCCATTTAAAATGTTTATCTAAATGTTATATATGAAAAATAATAAAAAAAAATTATCTTTATTGATTTTATCGGCCGTACCAGTACAAATAATTATTAAAATTTTCTGTAAATATAACTATATATAGAATTTAACAGTGATTTATGCTACTTATAATGTAATTATGTAAAAAAATATTTCGCGAGAAGCCTTAAAAATCATAGATTTTTAATAAATATGGGTACTAGCGTCTACAGGTCTATGGCCGGAGAGGACGATGTATTTTTATAAATCATATTGTTCTTTATTAACATATATAATATGTTAACTGAAAGTACATTATTTCGTATTTTTCTAACATAAAAATTAAAAAAAATATAATTATAGTAGTTTACGTATTTAATTATATTGATCAACTTGTGGAGACGGTTATACATATTGTATTAAAATTATATTGTAATATAGTGTTGTCATTGTGTGATACCTGCGTACATATGCGTTGCAAATCTGATTTGAGAACGTTCTATTTTATTTTTTCTTATTATACATATATATATCTATCTATATATATAAATATATATAACATTAAGACAGTTTGTAGGAGTAATGCGGGGCTTGGGGTGGGGGGTTTTAGGAAGGGGTTGAAATGTACAATTTGCTTGATATTGAATAAAACTTAAGTTTTATGTCACTAGATGGCTCTGTTCGTTGTGAGTACAAGTGATTGTATGTTATATTGTTATATATAATTATAATAGTTATACATTGCACCAAGTGCGTCTGTAATGTATTTCGCTTCAACGATTAAGTACATGTAGTAGTTTTGTGAGTTAACATTATTTCTTAATGTAATGTAGGCTCGTAATCAGCTTACGGCGTGAGTTCATGTTTTATTGTTTTCCTTTCATTTTTATTCTGTAAAACCGTCCAGTGAATACTAATTTTAAAAAATTAAATCACCTTTATTTGGATGCAACATTTTTTAACTTTACAGTGTCGTGCGGTATTTCGGTGCGTTTATAACTGTCGATATACCTTGATGCTGAATGACTAACCGCTCTGATATGAATGCTTTTAGAATTTGGTGGTACTGTTCCTGGTTTATGGTTTTTCTAAGATAGTATATTCTTCCCGACCGTCATCTTCATATATATTCTTGTATTGAAGTATATATATAATAATTCTTTGTATTCATCATCACATTATATTACCTACACTGTATACTTGTCGCGGACAAACAACGCACTCAGTTCACAATATGGCTTTAGACGTTTTATTGAATGCAAAGCTGATCTGTGATGATATGGAATAGTTAGTTACATTTAGGCTGTGTGTGTTATATTTGTCCGTTTTTAGGGCAGGATTACAGTTTATGACCAATTTTATAGTAAGTTCGATATTTTCAATACGGTTTCTATAAATTTCTGTTAAACCAGCCATGAGTCATGACACGCGAGTGGATTTCTCACAATATAACATGATTTGTTTTCGAAATTAAACAATATAATATTTTTAAATAGAATATATATTTATGATAATTTTTATACTCAGGTATTAGTTTGTTACCATTTTTATTCTCTCAGTATTTATATATTATGTGTATATATTTTAAGTGATATATTAATTATGTATAACAGTATTTTATTTGAACGATATTATTTGCTTAACAAGCGGATGGTGTATACATATAATGACATACGTTTTACCATTATCATTAATATTATTTTTAGTGTATTTAATATATTTTTATATATATGATGTAATCGTGTGCCATCAATAAGTTTTTTGTGGTTCTCATTTATTATCTGTCCACACAATAAAGACAATAACAGCTTCTAATGTACCAGAGTTCATTGTAAATTCTTTTCACAATAGATATCTACTCGGTAACTCGCTTCACTATGAAACACGATATTATTTATTTAACACTATATACTTATATATGTATCGATGTATGCTTAAATGTAACTATTTTCTAAAAATTAAGATTAGTTTGTAAAAATAAATGTTATGTTGTAATTAAGATATTGAATAGGTAATTAAAAAAAAAACAAAATATATATTTATGAATTAAAATTTATAAGTATTTTTAAAGTGGTAAGGTTCGCGCTGGGTGTTTTCGATTTTGATGTTGGGGACGCTTTCGTGGGATTGTTGTGATATGAGTACATATTAACAACAGTTAACTTAAAAGTTGATATAACATCTCCCGCCTCCAACATTGTCACTAGCATATATAAAATGTCCAATCGGTCGTTATTTCATACAATAGGCGTTCCCATACTTAAATGTCAGTTTGTATGCGTCACACACATTCCAGTATAACGCTAAAACTAACGCTTACGAATATGACGAGCGCGTTACAAATTTTTGTAATTTAACCACTTTGTTGTTCATTAAATTGTAAGTCTAGATTTAATCTCAGTCGACATTGTTTATTTTAGTCTGTGTATAGTATTCTCTCGATTTAAGTTAACGATGTGTTAGTTGATTATATATATTATATATATGTGAATTCGTACGAACGTACGGGCCGGTGTCCGTGTTCGTTTTAATTGTAAATCTTAAGTACCTAAGCGATTCTGTTGCACCTAAATTTATTTCGCGAGTCGTGTTAGATGTATTATATTATGTAATTGTAAATATAGGTAGGGTGAGGTTATAATAAAAGAGTCTTCACACAATCTTAACTGGTTATTGTTGAATTTTAATGAACGGGGCTGGCATATATATTTTTCTCTCAATATTTACCGCAACAGCGTTGTGCCGTGTTATAATTACCTCACATATCTTTTGTACATTAAAAAATAATAAATATTGTTGTCGCTACAGGCTAATAACTTATTTTTAATGGCCGTTTTATTTAAAGTAATGTCACATTAAGTTTGAATGTTTAAGGACAACGATCTACTGTAGGCCACCTAGACATGTATGTGACGATGTCAAGGTACCCCTACTTCGTCAGTATATTTATTTTCTTTGTGAGACGCACGTAAGCGCCGGTGACGAAATGTAACCGGCCGTTATTGTAGAAATAAATAATATTTTCGTTTAACCTGTTGTTTACTTTACAACCGCCAGCAGACATATATAACAAGTCAAACATACGACTTGGGTTAAATAAAAATGTCTGTTTCACATTACAGTCTTTATTAGTAACTTGTTTAATATCAGGTTGTTGATAATCAACTTTATGGCTATCGAATTATGTCACTAAATGGATTGACGTGCTGAACGATAAGCGATAACCCGCAGGTCATTAAGATCATGAATATATAACGAGGACATAACAAAAAATTCACTGATGGATTGTTCTAGAATAAAAATTCTATAAGTGCTCTACTGCATCCTTAAAGCGCCATCTAGCCGTATTGTTTCGCCATTGAGCATGGGGTTTTGGATGATGCTTTGCACTAAGAGAGCAAACTCATGGGGCTGACCAAGGCGTGAGGGAAACGGTACACCGGCTTCCAACTCACGAAGAACCTTCTCTGGCATCGCATCCACTAGTGGTGTCCGGAACATACCTAGAACCGAATTAAAAATATATATAAACATCCATGGTTAACATACAGAATATTAAATGAAAAATGTTATTATATGAAAATTATTCAAAGACTGTAAGCGAAACAAATGGTACTTTGAATACAATTAACCTTTAACCTCCAATCACCTGCATGTTCATTGTAAAGCGGAGGAATATTGTAAAATATCAGACATACCTGGGGCGATGGTTACAACTCTGATTCCTTGTTTTGCCAGATCCCGAGCTAAAGGTAAAGTCATCCCTACAATGCCAGCCTTAGATGCTGAATAAGCTGCTTGACCTATCTGAAAAATATATACATTTAGGATGAATTCTATTCAATCATTAATAAATATATTTAATTTTCTTACTTGTCCATCAAAAGCTGCTACACTGGAAGTATTAATAATAACACCCCTCTGTCCATCTCCGTCTGAAGCATTTTTGGAAATTAAACCAACTGCCAGACGGATTACATTGAATGTTCCAATTAAATTCACCTTAAATAAACAAATTCACTTAGAAAAAAGTCGCTTCAATTGGTTATAGTTATATTCAAATTACATAGTAAATGATAAGTAATAAAATACTTAAAGCATGGTCTTGTTGCATTAAGTATTACTATGTATAATGATATCAATACTTGATTACTAACATCAATTGTCCTTTGGAAAGCCTTTAGGTCAAACGGCTGATCTTTCTTGACGTTGTAAACTCTGCTAGCAGTAATAATCCCTGCACAGTTGACTACCACATCCAATCTCCCAAATTTATCAACGGTTGTCTGCAGAGCATTTTTCACATCATCCTCTGATGTAACCTGCAAGAAAAGTAATATAAAGAAATTAAAATATTGGTATTTTCAATAAATATACTATTATGATAATTATTGGAAAAAATAAACAAAGAATGTGAGAGAATCCCATTCTCATAACCTATTTAAATAATATAATATAAACCAACATCAACTGGCACAAAGGCACCATTTCCAGCAAGCTGTTTTGCAGCCTCACGGCCCTTACTACTTGGAAGGTCACAAATAACAACCCTTCCTCCATGCTTCACCAAATGTTCAGCGGTTCCCCTGCCAAGTCCCGAGGCGCCTCCAGTTACCAAACCTACAAGACCCTGTAATATCAACAGTTATTTAAACAATACATATGGAAGTAAAATAAAAGATACAAAATAAAAATTTCAATTATTTTACAACCCACTTTAAACATTTTACAATAAGTAATAGTAAAAACCCAGAGTTAATATAAGGCAAATGAATAAAAAAGTTACGAATTATGTAATTACTGATCAAATATTAAAATATTAGCTTGGGTTTTGTTATCAACATAAGGCTGCACATACTAGATAACGTTGTTAAATGTATACTTACTACTTTACTTACAATTAATTTCGTTTGTTTTGTTTTGACGTTTATAAATTGAAACGTAATAATGTTATCAGTTTATAATGTGACGTTTTAACAGAACGTTTAATCTAACAACCATAGACCTTAATACAACAAAATAACAGTCTGTGAAAAGTCATAAATAAATGGATTTAACCTGTTCCCCGGAAAATTATGTCTTTTAATAAATACATTTTTGAAAAGTTTTACTTTTAGAAATGATAGTTAATATATGGGGAAGTTGGAGTTACTGACGTCCCGAGGAAAACTTTTGCTATCGTGTTATTGTTAAGATTAGGTATCTACAAGAAAGTGATAACTCTAATTTAAAGAAATACTTCTAATACTTTAATCAGACATGAGGCATTGTCACATCAAATACCAATTTATCATTCACAGATATTCGCTCATGGTATTGTCAAATTTGAGTCTATTTGAATGTAAAACTGGGAATGATTCTGTGTCTAGTTTTGACGGTGCTTTTAAACTTCTTGCAATGTAACTAAAGAAACTAGTGACGTGCGTGAGATCTCTTCCATAGAACATTAGGACGTTTTTTGATCAACAAAATTATATTTCAAAGGAATTAAATTTGATAAACTGCCAAAAAAATAAAAAAAATATAGACTCATATCTCGCTTTTCAAATTTGACTTTCTTACTTATCGTGAAAATTAAAAAGGGGCTTTTTTATTGTCATAATGTTACTTTTCAATTTCTTTTAGTTTAAAAACCCAAATAAAAAAGAAATATTTTAATTAATTATTATATTTTTTTATTTTTTTAGTCTCCAAAATTTATATGTGCTTTTATTACACATTTATTTTTAAAAACCAATTATGAAAATTTATTATCACGAAATAGTTTGACAAGATCACTGGCCCTTAATTATGCTTAAGGTCACGCTTGATTTTTTTAACAGACCCGAAGGTATCTACCTATAAACTGAACGCTTTTGCTGATAGTCGTCCAAGCTACTTTATTTGCGTTGTTTCATCATTTGGTCATTTAGAAATTTCATTCAAATTAAATTTTGTTTTATTGTAACCATAAAGGCATTTTATGTTTTCGATCTTAGACATCAATACCTACAGAGTACTAAGATTTTTTCGTAATATTTTTTATTCATTACTCTTCAGTCTCTGTACAAAAATCTCATGTTTTGCTATTCTTATAACAATATCTTTTCAAGCATGCTTCTAATATTATATACTACTGTAAAGTGAAACATCCCCATTGTGATAATGGTATTATTAAAATTAACAATACTGGTCATTCTTAATTTCTCTCACAGCCACGGGAAAATGTTATTCATTGACCTCAAACAATATAATTTTTTTAAAGTAGATACGTCATTCAAACAATCCCTTATATATCTAAAATATTGGTAATAATGTATACAACAATTTAAGTTTAATAAATTTAGTTGACCAAAATACCTACTTAGAATCGTAGTAAAAAATACACAAGAAAATAGAACTGTAACTTCAAAATGTAAATATTGCATCACATATCCAAAATAAATATTTATAAATATTTTCCAAACTCAAACTCAAAACTCATAGTAAACTCAATATTGCTTTCCTTTTTGTTTTGTATATAATTCAAGCCGCCCAAGAACGCAGTTCTTAAGGAGCATATAAATTAAACAAAATTTAAGCGTTTTATTTTTACAATATTAACAATTTTTCCCTTTTACAACATTATTGTTTACATTTGATCATAATATTGCAGTAACTGCTCAATACATTTATCTTTACATTTTAATAAACAATTATAATTGATAATTTAAGTATAATTTTACATTACAAACTTCATCACACATTGTTATGTAGCGTAATAACAAAGGGATAATTATTACCAACAATAACTCAAAATAATCAATAATAAAATAAAATAAATTAATGTATATGTTTACTGTATATAATTATAAAAATATGATAAGATATAAATTCACAATGATATTAAATTAATTAATTTTATTTTAAAAAATCCTAATTAAATACACAAACAATTCAATTTATTTATTGAATCAATCTATGTTATTAAACCAATAACAAAGAGATTTTTATTATGAAAAGAAAATTCTATAGGTACATAAAATTAAATTAAATTATTGATTTCAATCATGACTTAGTAATGTTTGTTATATATTCATTACACATTTAGTATAATTTAATTCGGATAACGTCAACAATCATTATAATTATGCAATTTAAAACTTAACACAATAATATGAACAAAAAAAAACAATATTAATGGTTTTAATTGACAAAATGGACTGTATTGTGAAATATACGTAAAGAAGTTTTAGTGAAATTAGTCTGCAATCGGTAAAATTAATAATTTAGAAATTGCTCGTGTAATCAAATTACTTTTACACCGAATCGAAGACTAATTTGGGTTGGGTACTGTCAGTTGCAAGTTTTTTCACCTACCACTCATAGTATATTTGTGAATTTACATACACAAATAAGCGATGATGAACTCAAGAAGTTTTGGGAACTAGAAGCAGAACCTAACGATAAAATGAATCAACGCTAACACCAGAGGAACAAAAATCTGAAGATTTGTTTGCGACCACAACAAAAAGAGACTGTAAAGGACGATATATAGTAAGATTGCCTTTTAAAAAAGAAACCCCAGCATCAAAATATGGAAATTTACGGGAAATAGGTTTGTGCAGGTTTTATGGACAAGAAAAAAGATTAATCACCAACAGAACGGGACGGGAGCACGTCGACATTGAAACAGTTCTGAAATTAATTGAAATTGTCAAAGGCTACGTCTTTTTGTACGACCTGAGCTATCATCAATATGAAAATGCTAGTCTTAAAACTAAAGTTTGGGAATCTATAGGAAGGGAATTAAATTATAGCTGTGAAGCAGTAAGAAGTAAATGGAAAACCATAAGGGATGGCTATACGAAATATAAAAAACAACTTAAAACTACCACAGGCTCTAGCAAAACAAACGCCAGTTATACATGGGCGTCACAACTGTCATTTCTTGATAATCACAATGCAGCTCGGAGGTCGCATTCAAAAACTTATTTGGATACATCACAATACGTGTTCACCCCTATCATTTCCATCACAATCGCCAATCAAACAAGTTTCACCTAGCAGCAACAAACGACAGCCAGCCGATCACAGACGAGACGAAGACAAATATTAAAACCCAAAAAGAGAAAAGAACTAGACGTCGTTGATAACTTATTTCTAAGCTAGGTATGCTGATACTTTTAAGAAATTTCCCGCCCGAGAACAAGTGTTTGTAAAGTTGGAATTGGCAAAGTTATTCTCAAATATAGAACTACAGTTACTCAAACAAACGAATCGATTATTTACGAACCAACAATAGGTAAAGTAAAGAAGGAGCCAACAGAAGATACGCCTTGAATATTACAGAATTATTTATAGAATTGTAAATGGTGCGATGGATACTTTTGAATTTTATATTAACGGCAAAGGAATATATGTATTAAACTCTATTTCAATTAATAAAGACTGGTTTTACTATTAAAAAAAACAATATTAATGGTTTTAATTGACGAAATGGACTGTATTATGAAATATGTATATGTAAAGAAGTTTTAGTGAAATTAGTCTGCAATCGGTAAAATTAATAATCCAGAAATTGCTCGTGTAATCAAATTACTTTTACACCGAATCGTTACCACTCTAGTTATGTTATCAGGGCCGGGATGCTTTGCTTCTATTCTACCATATAACCATTTTGTTGGAGGAAGATTGTCTTCTTTAACAAGTACAGTGTCACCAATATTTGGTTCTGTGGACTTTATATCCATAGGTCGCTGGTTCAAATCCGGCTTGAAGGACCACATAACCGACATTTTTAGCTATAGTCGATGATTCCGATTTTTCTGATAAGTTAACACTTTTAACTTTTAATAAATAATCTTTAAAAATATTTATATGCAGTATACTCTTCTTCAATTAACTCATACATATTCATACTAAAATAATCACAATTAAACTTAGATTCCTGGGTAGCTATGTCAATTATTTGCTTATGAGTGACCTTAACCTCACTCCAAATATCATTTAATATTTCATTTCTAGTTTCTACATATATAGGATTGCGTAATTCTAGACTTGGGTGACTTTTTAAAGTTTGCTAAATTTCTTTGTATTTGACCCCGATGATCTTCTTGGTACTTAATAATTTTTTCCATATTTATTGTTATAATAAATTTCGTTTGTATAATTAATTAAATTTTCCAATTAATTATTATACAAAATTTTTGTTTATTAACTTATAACTTAGTTCACTAAATGTTTTTATAAAACCGTTACAATTTTTTATAAAGTTCAAATTATCGTTTATTTTTCACGTTACTTCACGTTCACTTTTATATAAATAATCTCAGTACCTCGGATTATAAACTTTCATTATCTGGAAATGCTCGCAGCCAGCAGTAACTTCTTGAACTAGCAAAGCTTGGTTTTCAAATGACGACTAACGGCACCCAGCACCCAGCTTCTGACACCCAGCACCCAGCTTCTGACACCCAGCACCCAGCTTCTGACACCCAGCACCCAGCTTCTGACACCCAGCACCCAGCTTCTGACACCCAGCACCCAGCTTCTGACATCCAGCACCTGGCATACAGCAAGCAGCACCAAAGACCCGGCCTCAGCACTTTTGACTTGATTTCTTCTTTAATTTTGTCAGGTCCTGGCTCCTGAACAACTTTTGGTTGGTCACACAGTAAGTAACTACTCAATCTTATTGAGTGGTAGATTTATGAATTCTTCGTATTAATATCCGTTTGGCTTATATCTGTATGTTATTCCCTTTATATTCTCTTAATTTTTTCATTATTTGATTAATTTATTTTCAACTTATCCGGCTCGAAGGACCATGAATAAAAGTCATGTGTTTCGTACAATGGTTTATTGCAGACAAAGAGAAATCAAAAAATACATCGTCATCGTCGATACGGTGACCCGCGTAAGAAACAAATTTAAACACAACTTTTTATTTTATCGGGCCTCAACATACAACGTAACGGAAAAGGAAGATAAAATTTCGGAAAAGTACAAATGTAATAACAAGTGTCCAAGGGGACTAATAAACTTTTGTGTAACTATCGTTGATTCAAAATATAGCAAAGTTGTATCCACTTATGTAAATTTTAAAAACAGACCTTTCTAATAATCTGTTAAAAAATTGTTTTCGTATAAGGAACTGTGAAAATAATTTCATTGTATAGAAGTTTTGAAATATTAAAAGCGTTTTTAAAATATTTCTGTGTATCAGATTTTGTTTTTTTTTTACGTACTAAGTAGACTGCAGAACATTATTTGAAAGAAAGAAAGAAAAGACATTTATTGACATACACACAAAAAAAAATATACGAAAAAGGACATAAAAATAACATTACAAAAAATAAAGAAAATAAATATAATTAATATGAAGCTTGTGGGCAGTCAAAAGGAGACAGCTCAGGCTATGAGGGTTTTTTATCCCTCTGCTGATTTTATGCTTTTCAGCTGTCTCCCTTGTGGCCACGCAATGACAGTATCAACCAAAGCAAAAATAAAAAAAAACATATTTCCATTTTATATACTAAACGATATTGAAGGCCAAACGAAGTGTAAGCAACAACGCATACTATGTACTATAAGGTATGTTAGGTATTATTTTATTTAGTATATTCTTTAATTCTATATAAAATTTATTATCAACTGCCATTTTGTCAACTTCATGTTTTCGTACAGCTACGATAAACTAGTCATGCCTAGTACATTATGAACCCTTATTTATGAAGCCAATTTTTAATTTCTTATTATTCACCTTGTAACATTTAAGAGATTTTTTAAATTTTTTAACATACAATCAAATATACGTTTTAGTATTTATAAATTGTAAAGATAGGGTAGATTTCATATAATTTTTATGTTCTTAAATTAAAGTACTTATAAACATTAGTAAAATTGTAAGTTTTAATAGAATTGTAATATTTTTATATAATAAGTATTTATGTATATATGTAAATTTATAATTTGTAGTTGTATTAGTTATAAAAAATATATGAGTTAAAAACATATATAGCAACAAAACAATACCCTATCATTATACCATAGTTACACATTCCTATTCGATACAGTATTGATATATAAAATTGACAAAAGAATATAATATAAATTTAGAAAATCTTATTACAACGTTTCTACAGATTTTTGCAAGATATTGACTAAGTTGTACATATGTACTTGCTAAGAAAGGTGAAATATGAAGTATAACCTTTAGCAAATGTAAAAATTTCAATTAAGAATACATTATACATTACTATCCAGAGTGCCAGTATACATTACTTTCCAGTTTAATCGACTCCAAAAAAATTCACAATATCATTTTCAGACCGTATGCGATGAGACATGGAGTTGGCATCTACATATTTCATATAGCTTCTTGATGATTTGTTTTTAGTTATTAAATTACATAACCCACGTTAAAACCATTGAAGTGGTATTTAGATAATTTTAAGGTCTACGTGCTATAAAGAATTTTGTGTGCAAAAATGTAACATATTAAATTATTTCTGTAAGCGTAATACTATCTGGAAGCTGAATTAAATATTAATACAAATCACCCTCCTTGTTTAGAAAAATATTATGAAAAATATGTGCCAAAAAAAAACACCACGTCCGTAGATATTTTTGTGAATATTATATTATGTACCTCTCCAAACAAAAAAGCAGTGTTTAATTTATATTTCAAAGCGATTGATAGTAATGTTTTAAACAAGATCACGTTTTTGTAAGCAAAATAATATATATGTATCCGGTATTACAATATAGATCATGTGTCCAGTATTTAGAAAAGAAATCACAACATTCGTGACCGCAGGAGCAAAATGTTTTAAAATAACTTATCTTCATTTTAAGTATGTACCGAGTGACGATCATTACAACTTGTAGCGTGGGACTCTACAGGCGATTCACATGGCAACGATGAAGTCTTATGTAATTATAGCTTTAATATTCCTATATATATCATTTTGTTGTGCCGGTAAACATTTTACGCCCAAACACAATGAGGACGAAGATCTAGAAATGGACAAAGAAGAAAGTCCGAGAACTTCGAAATATAACGAAACTGTTCTGACCCCAACCATGAGACAAAACACTAAAGGAGAGATCGTAGTCGAAAAATTCGTCGAATCTCTCATGTCCAGCGAGAAATACTTGAAAATAATAGAAACTATTGAAGATAGGATGACTCATTTGGAGTCTATATTTCACGAGAGGTCCAATTCGATTCTAAAATATCTGTTGGAAGTTTTAAGAGCTGTCAAGAATCCACCGGCCGAAGTGATGGAGAGGGCATTCAAAAATCTCAAACATGACCTAGACAGGTTGAAGTTTTCAGTGTCTCACAAAACGGGAACTGCTCCTAAACTAAGAGGTTTGTTATTTATATATTATTTTTTTATTTATTACTAACATGTTAATATAATTTTTTAAGAGAATAATTATGAGGTTTGCAAAATATATTCTCTCGTCCCCCTCTTTTTAAGTCATTCAGTACTCTAAATCATCAGCCTTGATTTTCAACGTATATTTAAGAGTAGGCACAAAGAAACCTTTAAATAAAATATATTATTTTAATTGATTAGACAATAAAATGTTGATAAAAATTATATAATGTTAGAATGAAATCAATAATACTACTATAAATTTAGATTATTATTTATTAATGGAATAATTTTTGGAATGTGATACTTAAAAAATGTACCAAATTAATTTTTAAGATCCATCACTTTAATTTATTTGAATTACTTATGTATATACTTGACCAAGAAAATTACCATAATAATTATTAGGTATTATTTATAATTAACTAAACTAAAACTAACAAAAAGTAAGTGGTGGCCTGGTGGTTAAATACCCGCCTCTCATGCATGAGGGCTCGGGTTCGATCCTGGCAAGTAGCTATGTGATTTTTCCGAGTCATATGTACTTTCTGAGAGTATTTAGATACCACTGACAGACGGTGAAGGAAAATATCGTGAGGAAACCTGGACTTATTCACAATTATAACTTTCAAATCACCAACCCGTCTTGAGCAAGCGTGGTGATTAATGCATTCCCAAAGAGGGTTGATGTCAGGCAGGCTGCCGGTCGTAAAAATAATTAGCCAAAATTATTTACAACGTGTAACTCAGACCCTGGCTAAAGCTGGGAAATTATCAGGACGAAGAAGATTTATAATTAACTAAACAAAAATGCAAACAAACAAAATAAATTAATAGGTATATAAGTTAACTTCCTATTTATCCGAGTAAGTATCTAAGACTAGCATTCTTTAATAATAACGAATGAATAACAAAAATAATGAAATAAAGATGGTGGAATGGACATTTAAACAAGAGTTGTTTATGAAAACAAAGATGTATTGACATTATATTAAAACGATTTGTATAAACAAGCACGAGAAAAAATCAGTACGAAGCATGAGGCTGGGAACATGAGGCATTTGTGTACTGTTGAGCGTCCAAACGAGAATATTGTCTTTAAAGCACATTTATTATTAAATTATAAAATTAAAACGATACTTCTCAATTCTCAGTTATATACTATCGCATGGACTAAAGTGGTCACATCTCATAATGTTTTGGAACGCTAAAGTTTTTTTTATCGCAATATATTTCTCCGTCGTAACATCAGAATCAAATAGAGATCGCCATCCTAGACGGAAAAATGAGCGTTTGGATAGTTCTTTATGGAAGAAAGAATATGAAACTGAATTGAACGATGCTTTGCTTACCTCGAAGAGGGCGAAAAACCTTACTAGGTTCCCTCAATCCACTTCATCAGACAACGAGGCGGTGATCGAAAGATTAATGGAAACAATAACTTCTAGTGAAAGATATCTCAAAAAGATCGAAAGTATTGATTTCCGTTTAAACAGATTAGACATCGAAGTACACGAGAAGTCAAATTTGATGTTGAAACGTTTGACCGAAATCAATACGGCATTACAAAATCAGGGTTCAGAAAAAGTGGATACAAATCTTGATTCGTTAAAGGCCGACGTAGGACAGCTAAAATATTATTTTGAAAACAAACTAGGTCCGGTAAATAAAGGTGCGAATGTTGTCGAAATGATATCGCGTAAATTATAAGAACATTCAAATTTAAATCGTTATACTTAAACTGATGAATTTATGAAAATATTTTCATTTTTTAGTTGAAGACGGCAGCTGTAACTTGGAAGGTGCACTCGACAGTCGACTATCGTTTTTGGAAACCAATATGAAAACTGTGTTGAATGGTGTTGAAGCAATAACAGCGGTCATATCGGAGGTGAAAAACCGGCAGAAACTTAGAACATTCAACAAGTAAGAGCTAAATATGTTGTTTTATTAATTAAAATATTCTTTGAAGATTAAATTCAGTTTGAATATACATATATTGAATCATTGTCATTTGTGTGTGTGTTTGTCATTTCTATTATTGTTATTTGTCTTCTTTCATAAATTCTTTGTTCGTAAAAAATGTTGGCCATTTTTTACATATCGAAACTTGTTTGGTCTTCTTTTTTCTATTAGATTTTTCTACGATTTTATCAAAAAATAAGACATGATAATTCTGTTAAAATTTTGCAAGTTAACTGAATTATAATAAATAGTGTGCCATTGGTGATGATAAGGTTAATTAGTTTTACTATATGTCTTTTTATGTGTTTTAATTTATTAATAAAATTTCTTTTTTTAAGAAACGATCAAATCACTGGAACCTTAGACGCCACAACATTAATCAGTGAATTCAGGAGAGTATTGATGGAACAAAAACCTAAAAAATGTGATTGCAAGTAAGTGTCATTGACAAATTCCTGAACCGCAAATTGTTTTTGTTATTGTTTGGAAAATATTATCAACGAACAAAGCAGCCTTTTGTTGTTTTATAACATAAACTGTACAATTTACAAATACATATCTGTTTATATATTTCCTATATCAAGAATTTTCTTGCTTTACCTGTTAATATAGGAAGAAGGAGGTTTATTAATAAAACTTATTAATATTTTGATTATACTAATCGCGGACTAAAGAGAAGTAAGGTAGATTTACTTAAACCCTATATCTTACTTTAAATGTTCAGATTGGGTCGTGTTGATCGTTCAGAGAGGTATCCCACCGACTGTCAAGAGATACAAGCCCAAGGTTTTAACGTCACTGGCATATACAAGATCAAGCCCGAAGACATGGAACCTTTCTATGTGCTGTGTGATCTCAATACAGTTGGTGGAGGGTGGACGGTAATAATAAACAGAAAACAAATTTCAACATCATGAGAGATACACTACTAGCATTAAAATGAATAATCCTTTATAGGTAATTCAAAATCGTTTCGATGGATCCCAAGACTTTTACAAAAATTGGAACGAATACAAACACGGTTTTGGTAACTTGGCCAGCGAGTTCTGGCTTGGTTTGGAGAAAGTGTATTATCTAACGAATCAGAAGTTATACGAGTTGAGAGTGGAAATGGAGACACAGATCGGACAAGAGGCTTCGGCTACGTTTTCTGTTTTCACCATCGGACCTGAATATGAGTCCTACAGAATAAGTACGCTTGGTACTTATCGAGGGAATGCCGGTACGTAATTCCATTATTAGTATTTATTTACAAATTAATCAATATCTTTAATATTTAAAACTGAAAAAAATTAGTTATTTATTAGATTATTTAATTTGCAATTGCAATTAAAGGTGATTCGTTGTCGTATCATGCTGGTCAAAAATTTTCAACCTATGAAGTTGATAACGACGAATGGAAAGATGGTTCGTGTGCGGTCGAACATGGCGGTGCTTGGTGGTATAAGGAATGTGACAAAAGGTAACCTTGATTTGTAAATAAAAGTATTATTTGATATACAGATTTTCTTTCCCACATAGAGCGAGATACATTCATAGTCATTATCTAGTTTATCTATTAACCCAAATCTTCGACTACTTACTTTTAGTTACGTTTTATCTGATGGCAAGTTCTTATTGCACAGTAACTTGAACGGTAAATACCTGAGTGGAGCAGAGGAGAACAACGGTCAAGCTGTTTATTGGATCTCATTCAAAGGACCGAACTCACCTCTATCAAAGACTAGGATGATGATAAGACCTCTGCCGGCCAGTCGACCACAGGAATACACTGAACAATTGAGGGTGATTTTACAATTAAAATATTTTTTTATATAATATAAGTCTTCATTCGCCCTGGAATCGTGCCATATTTTGCAAATGTCAACGCTTTTATTTTTTGGTCGAATAATAATCTTGAGTTTTTAATTTAAAATATTAAACACACCATATAAAAAGCATTGCTGTTATGTCAAACTTAGGACATTTAATTTTAATGCAAAGTTTGTACAGTTAAATACTTTTTTTGAAGAACGTAAGATATTTTGTTAGGGGTGTGTTTATTAAATGAGAAGGAACTTCAGTTTGTTTAAACCAAAAAAATATATCTTTAAAGAAATTGCATAGTTCTTGGATCGCACAGATCTGGTGAAGAAGTTATATCAAAAACCTCAAAGATTTTTTATATAATTATTTTTTGGAACTACCTCAGTTCTTCTTTTCACTATATCAAATTAGTATTTATTATATAATTTATGTCATTGTATTTTATATTTCCTTTTAGAAGTTATCTGAGAGTCCGAAACCAGATGTAAAGCGAGTCCGCGGCAAGGATATGAAGAGTCCGTACGACAGCGGTCGCTCCCGAGCACCTTATAGATATGAAGACAGCGTACGCCAGGAAGTTTTCTTCCCGAACTATACGTAACAAAATCGCATCTTGTAACATTTCAATGCACTATTTACTTATATTTCTTGTTACTACTTATTCGTCATTTATTTATCAGTCGATGTTAATGGGTGATGGAATAAAAGTATAAAAAATCAGTCTCATTCGCTTTATTTATATCAGACGGGCTCCACGGAACAGTTGAGCAAAGTATAATGGACATTTAACATGTTAAATTTATCATACAATTAATATTATAAATACACAGTAACAAATAAAAAAAAAACTTCGCACATGAATGTTGTACGCCTACATTAGTATGTACACATCGAGACATACATTACACATGGCAGTGCCAAGCCGTTGTAACATATAATATATATCTTAAATCTAAATACGTATTCAGTAATGTTTGATAATTGAAGTATTATGAGTAAAGATATATCTCAAACGAAATGGTTATCTAACGGAGGGATTTCGAGTTAATTTTAGAATATAAAGAAAAATCGTTTTCATTAACTAAAACTATTGTTTTAAAAAGATCTCGTTTATATATTATAAAACATCAATATTTACAAAGTCCACGTCACATAAGAGTAACTAACATTAAGATGCGAAAGTTTTTGTCCGTCGAAGTCAAAACGATTCGCAACACCATACCATACTTAATTGATAATACCTAACTAACTTCGAGTACATTCGTTGAGAGCGAGTGATTAATTAAGAAAACTTATCGCCCTATATAAAATATTAAGCAAAAGAACTTATGAGAGAAATTAAAAATCTCAACGAATGTATAAAACACCTTAAAACGTTATTTACATACATTAAATCAAATTAATCATAAAAATTAAACAACTAAGCACACATTACGCGAACTAAATAGCACCATAGATTAAATCTTTATGCCATCATAGAATATTTGTGAAACGTTATTTTTTTTTATTAATTTAAAACAATTAAAAAAAGCACATATCTACATACTAAGACCACTTCACGTCTAACATGGACGCCATCTTGATGACGTCAGAACACAATAAGTCCGCGCACTTAACTTATTGCACTCCCACCTACATTATAAATTATATGTTATACTAATAATATAAAATATCATAACCACATCAATAAAACGCTGTTACAAGCGCCACTAACATATAGTGACATCGAGACGACAATTATTTAATATATTATCCATTATATATATACGAAATGACATTTTCAGTGTCGGGATTGCCATATCAAAGGTTCTATGAAAGCGGCTTCAAATTAAAATTATCAACGAATACCATATAAATATTATAATACAAAATAATTCGTAATGGTAAATGTATCGATGTTACCAGAATTAAAAATGGTATTTAAAATTGAAGGGAAAGAAAAATCATAACAGTATAGTATAGCTTAAAATCTAAATAGGCGGAACTTTCGACATATGTCCTGGGTTCACGTTTGCATAAGACGAATTGAAATATTTTAAAATTATTTTACTATTTTTAAATTTCACCTTGTCACTCACAATAAGTAATTAATGCCGAAACAATTACATAATTCAATTAGCACATATATCAATTATGTTTATGCGTGAAACGGATATCAATGTACAGATAAAATAATAATAGTAATAATTAAAATAATTATGATAGCACAATATTTTTATACACATACATAGTCGAGTTAAACTCATAATATTCATGAAGTTTCAAACTTCAGCATCATTGCAAAATAATTATATTCTAAAGCAAACTTTTACTTTGAATCTCAATATACATAGATAAATAAAGTACTTGAATATTGTTAGGCCCAAATCATACATTTATATATTCATGATACGCACAAGTAACCATCACAACGGTTAAAACTACAACATGTATATAAAAAATTAAACCACATACATAACTAACTCGGTTATTCTAATTAAACATCTCCTGTAACATTTCACTAACAATCAACGAGAGTCTGTGAAAATCCTCATTATCTTTAAAAACTTCATCGAAGATCTTACAAAGCTCTATGAAGGAGCTTGGAAACAAACCTGAAAACAAAATATATGTATTAATATTGGAGGTACATATTTATATTATATTTATTTATGTACAAAAGTAGATAGTTACATTATTGTAAAAGAAAAGTGATGCACAAATTATAACTTCTCTCAAAAGAGATCTCTACAAGAAAATCTTTTGATAGAGGAAAATAAATAAGAAATGTGTTGCAGGCAGAACAAAAAGAAAGAAAGATAAAATAAAAAAGGAGTTTTATATACAGGGTGACTGATGAATTACTATCGATATTTGAGGACATGATATTTGACGATCATATATGACAAAATAAAAATTAATATAACATAAATATTAATAAATTTCTAAGTAAAGTCAACCAAAAGTTATGTAATTAATTACGCATCGTATGAACACCCTACAGATTAGGTATACACTCACGCTCACACATACGCGTGTCGCAACGTGTTGTTGTATCAGCACGCCGCCACACGCGTCCACACTTGAACACTTGGAACGTGTCTACACTTTATTTATTTATACGGAAATTTTGTCAAAAATTAAGTGCCTATTTTTTTTACATAATTCGAATGAGAATCATGTACCGAGTATTCTCCTTAAATATCGATAGTAATTCACCAGTCATCCTGTATAAGCATATAAACAAAATTATAATAATAGAAAAATTACATCTTCTAATATATAAAATTCTCGTGTCACAGTTTTCGTGCCCATACTCCTCCGAAACAACCTGACCGATTTTGATGAAATTTTTTGTGCTTATTCGGTAGCTATGAGAATCGGCCAACATCTATTTTTCATCCCCCTAAATGTTAGGGGTAGTCCACCCCTAAATTTTTTTTTTTTATTTTTTAGACAAAATTTTTAATTACTATTTTTTTATGATACAACGTACAAAAATACATACAATCCTAAATTTTCACCCTTCTACGATCAACCCTTATTTTTTAATAGCTATTTTAGTAATTTAATCATTTTTCATCTCCGGTCGATAACTGATCAATCGTCATTTAATAAGTTATCCCCGCCAGATATCTACAGGTGTCACTTCTGACCCAGTAAACAGCACGGAGTAGGGATGAGAACGAAGCCGGTCTTCTGTTTCTCTCACACAATTAGACTTCTCTCACTCCCTACACAGTTGTCGGCCATCGTTATTGTTTGTGCATCAAGTGTAGTAGTAACGTTGACAATTATTATTTTGCTAGCTCAGTGTAACTCTCATATTAACTATTAATCATTCCTAATCACTTCAAAACACGGAGATTTATGGCTTTAATAGGTAAACTCCAAAAATATAAATAAAAAAACGTAACAGATATTTCTTGATTATAGGGCGAAACGAAGTTCGCCGGGTCTTCTAGTAAATATATACAAATGTTATAATAAATAAATAAACATTACATATCAAGAGGTAAAAGCGAAAAATGTCTCTTTAGTCGATATATATATAAAAAAAGTTGTGTTAGTTACATTATTTATAAGTCAATAACGGCTGCAGGGATATATTTTTAAAGGTAAAAAGAAGAAAAGAAGTAAAAAGAAGTGGTGGAGAGGTAAAAAAAAAAAAAAGAAAAAAAAAAGAAAAAACTTAATAAACTCCAATATCTGGTTATTTAATATTGATGACCTCTAATGCAAAATGGAGTTCGCCCTGTCAGCTAAACATATATTACTAATTCCAAAATTAACGCGGACGAAGTCGCAGGCAAAAACTAGTATATATATACCAGTATATGTGCTAGTGTATATATACATACCTCAGTCATGATCATTGTTCTGTTCGCTCTCCGGGCGCAGCGAGTCGATGCAGGCGACTATCTTCAAGGCGGGCCCCAGCTTCATAGAGAGCGCCATCACTAAGTGTTCAGGCTTTATGAGCAGCAGAGCCTCTCCATCAACCTCCTGCATGAGGAACTCGTCAGCGTAACCTGCACAGCCTGGGATGCTGCGGATGAAGTCACACACCTCCGACACCTGGATAAATATATATAGAATTATTATGTGATATAAGAATAATATATATAAAGTATTAGGAATTAAGTTTCTAATATACACAGTACACCTGTGCACCTAATTATGTATTCCTGTTTATTATTTATTTTATCTATAGAAGTTATAGAGGGATGATATAATTTTTTTTAAAGTACTATCTTTGAGCTTGCTTTTGGGGTCGAAAGGACGCTATTTGCCCACTTCAATTAAATGTCGATTTGAGTGCGACAATATACTATAATATGGATAATTGGAGCTTTGAGTCTATTACCAAGTTAAAAATTAAGAAATTTATGTTAAATTAAACTTAAAGAAGCGTTTTCAGTTAGTACTAATAATAAGACATACAAATTATTATGGAATATTTTTCTATATGATTCACAATGTAAAAGTTTGTAGGGCTGTATGTAGCTTTGTTGATGATTCACACAAAAACTATTTAATAGATTTCGATAAAACGTTACACAAATGTAGCTTAGATATCCAAATGAGACAGAGGCTAAAATCTATCCCGTTCTAAATGTAGTTACCAAAGGATTACCATTTAATAGTTTTATTGTGACTTCAAGTGACATGTGATAGATGTCGCTGTAAATTGATTTCATAGTAATGATTATTGCTTTAAAACGTTATGTTTCTATCTGAACCATTTTCAATGTTCTGTAAAAACTATAATAATATAATTTACTTACGGTCCATTTGTTAGCGTTTGGTATCTTAGGGGTTTCTTCTGAAGGAGCCTCGGGCTGCGGTGTGGGATCAGACTTGGCGCTCTGCGAACTTTCACTGGATTCATTGCTTGATGATATCCTTGGAAGACTACTGCCGTTTTCTAACATTTGTTTCTTTCCTGAATACATAATATTACCTTACTTTATGTCTAATATAATTTAAGTTTAATTAACTACATATAACTTCTAGATAGATAGATAGATAATACTTTATTGCACTCGATATCATATGAAATAACATTACATATAAATGGTTCGAAACAGAAAATTGAAGGCAAGGGCAGCCTTATCACTAAAAGCGATCTCTTACAGGCAATAATCTATATAAGGTACTAATATATAAAATTTCTATATATCATAATATACTAACTTGGCGGTTCGTCTGTTGATGGTAATTTATTCTCTTTGTCCTGTTCTTTATCTGTGCCCCACTCACGTAGAGGTCTATTAACCTGTAATATACATACATTAGACAAATATCAAGTAATAATCACTTTATAATATAATAAACAAAACTTACAGCGAATGGTTCACCCGCTTCTTGTATAACATATCCTTCTATGACGTGGGTTAGTATATTCGGCTTCACCATGGCTTTCGGCAGGGTTTTATCTATAATAATATCAATATATATTATATATTTACTAATAAATGTACATATATATGTATATATATGTTTACCATGAGCCGTCTGCTGATTAATATGACGAGGAGGACATTGAGTTGGTTTGAACAGCGAATTACTTGTTACCGGTGTTGTTATAGAAGTGGGAACAGTCGCAGTTGTAGAACAAGCCAAGGTTGTCATCACCTGGAATTGATACATCTTTTGTAACTTCTGGATATTTTTTGATAAAATATATATTAATGACAATCAATTCCTCATTACATTGAGAGTCAGTTAAGATTTAAGCTTAGTATTTAAGACTTTAATTGAGATTAAGACCTTAGTTTTTTTGTTACATACAAAAGTGAAACTGATTGTAGATTTTCATAATTATTATGAATATTTTTCTGTAAACTAGTATATTCATAGTTTTATCAACCTGTGGTGTTAGAGAGGTGGTGCTTTGGGCGCTGCTGGTGGCAGGTGAAGCTGTGGTCGCTGGCTGTTCTTGAGACTCCTTACTTGGACTCGGTTTTGGAGTCTCGGTTGGAGTTTTTGGACCTGGTGACATAAATATATATATTAGTTGTTCTATAATTATTATCGAGTATATTAGAGATACATTTATATAAGGAAATTAATATATATATATTGTTTCTTCCTAAGCTAAGTGTCTGTAATGGATATTTATGTTCTGAAATGTCTCATATATGGGAAAAATACTTTATTATATCAAATATTATACACTAACCAGAGGTGGTAGTGGTAGAAACAGCAGCGTCTGCGCTTACTGTGGTTGTGGTAGGACTTGGTGATGATACCGTTGTTGTAGCATCACTGGTGGTATCCATTGGCTGAGATGATTGAGGAACAACGGAGCTTTGCTGTTCATGATAATAAAATTTATTTAATAACTATAATGTATAGAATTGAATCCAAAGAACATTTTCTAATAAATCTGTTATTGTCAATATTTGGTTAGCAAATAAGTACAATTGATAGGTTTGGTATTATTTTTATATGGAACCAATTACAAGATATCACAAAGAGGTGTGGTTGGGATGAATTTCATTAAAAGTAGTTTTATTATAGTATATTTAGTAAATCATAGTCGAATATTTGATGCCAACTGTTTAAAAAGAGAATAAAATGCACATAAAGTTAATCTTTTGATTATAGAATTAAACAAATCCATTTTAAATTTATGTTAGTTTATAATATTTAAAAATAACTGTATCTTGTTTTTATATGAATCAAGTGGGGACGACTTGCTATTTAAATATAATCTAAAATAATGAATATAATAATGTACATATATACTAACCGGTGGTGGCATTTGTTGTGTCTTATCTTCCTCGCTCTTCACATGCAGTAGCGTCTGAGACAATGTCTGCGATAGTGTTTGAGACAAGGGCAGCACGGAGCCCTGCAGTGGGGCCGCCAAAAGACCAACAGTCCCTTGACCCTGTAGAGTCAGTTGCGGCGAACTTAGATTGTTTGATGTTACCTATTCGTCACAAATATATGTATTGGAAAGAAATTTCTAGAACTTACTGCAATTTTATCACCAGCGAGGGTTATTTGATATGTGCTAACATTATGCAATATAGTATTTAAGATATAAAATTGCAATTGAATTCTATTCTTGATTATATACTTTTAATTATAATGATTCCCTTAACTATAATGTACTACATATTTTAATATTCATAAACTGCTAAGCCATTTCATATAACATAGTTCAGGCGCTGTAGGCAGCTGTTGTAAAACAAGAGCCAACTTTACAATTATAACATATATTTTTTCGAAATTAACATAAATTAAGATTATACAACTATATTCCAAATAAGAGTAATCGAGTTAAAAGAACATGCATCAGAACGGCTAAGGATTTCATTGTAAAGAGGGGCATGCGACAAATTAATAATTAAAAATTACATACACATAGTTTTTCGACTTTGATTCCAAATTTAAATTTTTTGTATTATGCTTTTTGTTTCATATAAATAAATTTCTTCTTACCGTTGATGTATTACGCAAAATAAAAACAGTAAGCTTAATTTGTCATTCGTTTATAAAAAAAATAAGATAATAATATAGTAATGGACAATTAATTGTCATGCGATATATATAGACTTGCCATAACATATATTTTTATAATGAACAGTAAGGGTATATATCAGATTTGTATGTTAAATCCTTCAATGGCAAGTCTATAGGATGTTTCAGGCTACCTCGTGGTGTAATATCGCCGGTGAGACGACGAGTGGAGTCAGCAGCGATCCATCGAGCGCCAACGCGGGCTGTATATACCCAGCGATACCAATTATACCCAATATTTTATATATTCAATAAATAAATTTACCCGCCGTTCGGTTAATCATGACAGCATAATGACATTTGTTAGTACACAGTTGTCATCAATATAGGGATGAGACAGATAATAAATATTACTACACGACCGTTATATACCAGTTACTATAGTTTAGAACTTAAATAGTTTAATTAGGTGGATACAACTATGTTACCGAGCATAATAAATTAATTTTAATAAATATCCGTACAGTTATTTTTTTATCATGCAGTATTGTGAATGATAAAATCAACTCGATCGATACTATATTGTTTGTCCTAGAATCGGAATCTGATATTATTATGTTTTTATGTACGTACCGCTTGCATCTGGGTTGTATGATTCAAGCCGGTCGGTTGTTGAACTGCCATGCCGACAGACGTTTGAACAAGACCACTGCTCACCAGCTATATTAATATAAAATAACTTTATAGTGCAAATCTTTAATTTGGCAAGTTTTATTGGGAATGAAATTTTCTTGTAATTTACCTGCGGCTGTTGAAGTGACGGCACTTGTGATAGTGAGTTTGGTGGTTGGGTGCTGTTCAGTTGACTCACTAAAGCACTTGTTTGGCCGAGACCGCTCAACTAAAAATAATGAATTAATTATTAAAATTCATGACAGAAAAGAATTATAATTTAGTTTAGTTTATATTGAAATTCTTCAGATGTAACCTCATCTCATCTCATAAAATTTCATTATTGATATTGCAACCAATATTCCCACTTTAATTTCCATGTATGATTCAAATTGGCTAGTAATTCTATTAAATAACATATTTTTGGTCAAATCAAGTAGTATTTAAACATGACTGGTCTATAATGATAAGTTAAATTTAGACATTTTGTTTCTCTCTGTAGTAATAATAGTTAATTCATTTTATATTATATTTTTATTCAATTATATTGGACTACAGCCAGAAAAAATATATATAAAAAAGTATAAGGTCTTTATAACCAATGATTTATTTTAGTTACCGAGTGTAATTGCTGCACCATAGACACTGTTTGCGGCATCCCAGTCATCGGCAGAGTTTGAGACACAGAACCAACTGGAAGTGTACTCTGCTGCATGCCCAAAGTCATTCCTGTAAAGAATTATTAATATAAAATTTATTGTGTCAATTAATATAAAATAAAAATACAACTTATGAAATGTATTTGAAACATTGTCGAATTGGTATGGAAATTTCAAAGTTTATATGCGTATTTTTTAAGGCGGCCAACTTTCCGAAAACTGAATGCGGGACTTACCTTTTGTGAAAGGCGGGGGGGGGGGGGGGTTAGGGATTGGGAATATCATCAAAATCTTCGCAACTGCCCATATTAAATTTAAGTACTCTCTTACGCGTCATGAGTTCAGTAAAGACAACAAACGAGATTATCGCGGGCGCGATACGCTTGTCCCTATTATAGGTAATCTGTGTTCCTGCACTGTTGGCCGTGGTATGGGTGTTGTGAAGAAGTGTGGTAGAAAAATTGGGATGCGGGACATGCGGGACGCATACAACGTTTTGCGTGACTATTTTACTAATAATTTCAAAGCGGGATTTCGTCTAGAATTGCGGGACGGTCCCGCAGAATGCGGGACGGTTGGCCGCCTTAGTATTTTTTCAAGAATATAGAAATTTTATGACATAATGGTTTCATTGAATTCTCTAATAAACGTCTTTAGAAATAGCAAATCTTATCATTCATCCTAAACTCTATATTAAAATTTCTTTGTGAACAATACTATTTACATATTCTACCTTGTTGTTGATAGTGCTGTACAATCTGAGTTTGATGTTGCTGTTGTAGAAGTTGTTGTTGCTGCTGCTGTTGTTGCTGTTGCTGCTGCTGTTGTTGCTGCTGTTGTTGCTGCTGCTATTCACATAGGTTATTTATATTTTATAAATAACATTTGGATATTGTAATAATATTTTGATTTTAATTGAAACACACCTGAATGGACTGCTGTTGCTGTATGATTGTCTGCTGCTGAATGTTTTTATTAATCGTCTGTTTTTCTGACACACTCGAAATTTGAGCCATCTGTCCACTAGAATTCATAACCAGCAACCTATAAATAATACATTAAAATTATGTTTTCGTTATTAATTTATGATAGAGATTTTTCTGTTTTAATCATTATGTTGCTACTAACTGTTTAGTTTGCTGCATTTGATGTTGCATTTTGTTCGTTTGGTTGGCTGCATCTTGTTTGGCTGCTGGTGCTGGGGATCTAACACCCGGCTTGCCGCGTTGCTTTGCCTGCTTACATTTATTTGATAGATGATTATATGAATACTTATAAATTAGATAATTGTCTGTAAATGTAAATTTTTTGTCATACCTGATTCTGTGCTTGATTAGTATTGGTCTGTGTGGATACAGATGAAGCGGGTCTGATGCCGCTGGAGGGTAGAATGTTCGACAGAGGACGAGATGTCTTCGCCATGCCCTCACTAGAAGCCCGTGGCTTCGAAGTGGTCGCCGTAGCACAAGCCACACTTACATCTATGAAAAATATATCAACAGTCAGTAATGTTATATAATCTAACATAATTTATAGGAAAACGGGTAAGCAACACTACATTTTAACACACAGTATTCGCTGCAACATAAATTTTCGCCTGAACATCGCATAGCATATAATACAATAACAACTAATTTATAAAATATCTATAAAACAATTTACATGCCATTGAAAATTAAACCTTATTGTTATACCAAAATAAAACTAAAATTGATACTAACTGTTGTGTTGAACGTTATTCTGTGGTGAGTGTTGTATGAACATGGATGGGGCGTCGGGTTGAGTCCCCCTAATGAATATAGGGTTGGGAGCGAGAAGGCCCCCCGCTGGCAGGGCCCCCGCCTGAAGGCCCCCTGCCCACACTTGCGGGAGGGCCCCGGATATCTGCCATGGCGCGAACTGCATCTGACCACCCGTCTGTAATTGTTGCTACATTATCTATATGTTTAAAGTTATCTTTATATATATAATTACATATGTTATGTCTACGTTTGACCCTCTAGCCGTTCTCGTGATTAAATTTTGCGGAGGGCTGAATTACATTATCAGAATGCGACGAATATGAGCTTACGATTTGTTTGAAGGGATTTAGTGTATGAGGGCTGTTGAATACGAAGGGTGTGGGAATAATGTAATTGGTTTTTCTGACTACTTGTTAGTTCAATACTTGAAAAAAAAAACGCACTGTACAGTATTAAGTAATTACTCGAGTCGTTGTAACTTAAGTATTTGGTAAATAAAGGATTTTTGAATGCAAAATAATTGTTGGTTTTAATAAATGTACAGTGTACACCTTATTGGCATCATCAGCCTTACAATTGTAGTTTTTTGTGTATAAAATATGATTTAGCACATGAATTGGGTTTCTTTGACATTTTGATGAAAAGTATCCTAAAAGTAAACAAAAAATATATATAAATATATATACAATTAATCAGAGTTTCTTTAAAGCTTTTCTTCGTAATGTGATATTCATAGAATAAATTTAAATCAATTGTATTAAAAACGGAAAACCTTTTGTGACTAAATATCTTCAAGGTTATTTGATTTAATACTAATATATCAAATATGTATATTCCATATGTCCTTATAAATAATGAGAACATTCCAGAAAACATTGATTATCTTAATATGTCCTCAAATGACAATACTAAGATAACTAAACAATCGCATTATTATATTCTAAAAATAAATTAAAATCAAACAAAAATTATAATTATAAATAATAAAAAACTGGTTTTTACATAAAATAATATAACATCGCTTTGCATAACATAGCATATACTGTAACTTAATTAGAACGCATTCGCTATAGAGCCTTAAACAAAACACACAAAATATTTAAACAATTTAACATAGCCTACAACTTGTAACATAGAGTTTTAATCATATAGAGGGTTCAAAACAATTCCATAGTGACTTAACATCTAAAAATTATAGAATATGAAGCCTATAATGAAGTGTCAAAGTTAGGGTATAGGGGGTATATAGTTAATGGAGTGACATAGGGTTAATAAACGTATGGAAGGTTCAAAAAAATTCCATAGTAACATAACATCTATAATTTAAAGAATATGTATATGGGAACTATAATTAAGTGTTATTGTATGGGGGTATATAGTGAATGGAAGTACATAGAGTTAATAAACATATAGAAGGTTTAAAACAATTCCATAGTAACCTAATATCTATAATTTAAAGAATATGTATATGGGAACTATAATGAAGTTTTAGACTTTTGTATGGGGGTAGTTGTGAATGGAAGTACATAGAGTTAATAATGTATAGAAAGTTCATAATACCTGTAGTGGACTGATGATTTGTGCTTGTTGTTGGCTGAGCACAGGCTGTGATACTTGGACGCACTGCGCCTGCACTGGAACCGCGCTACCGACTTTACCACCGACTTTGCCGCCACTCATCACCTGGAAATGAATTATTATGCATGGAAATTATTATTATTATTAAATTATATTATTATTATCCATCCACATTTGTGTAAGTCCCAAAGTCTAAAAAGCGTAACTACTAACATCTCGTCTTAATGATCACGGATGCTGCAAAGTAACCGAAACGTCGGGAATATGTAGTTTAAAATTATAAAATACGCGTAGTAATCTTGGAAATTAAATTATATTCATATTAATACTAGAAAGCTATTTGGCAAGAGAGTTTTGTGTACTGAACAAAATGTTCAATCTAGAAATATAATAATATATAATAAGATTAGTTTTGTTCAGGACACCAAAATTAATTTTAAGAAACCTTCGTATTAGGAGTTTGATGTACTGAAAAAAATGTTCAATCTAGAAGCATTTATATTAAATTTGTTTAGAAAACTTCTAAACCTTAAACATTTTATGTTGAGAATCCTACTAATATTATAATTGCGAAAGTTTGTGAGTATGTATGTTTGTTACTTCTTCACGCTCAAACGGCTGAACCGATTTTGATAAAATTTTGTATACAGGAAGCTGACGTCCCGGATTAACACATAGGCTACTTTACATGCTGGAAATACCGAAAATCCGCCGGTAACACAGCTAGTAACAATATATAAATCAAATTTCATGTATATAGTACCAATATTGGTTTAAGTCGTATTAATATATATTTATACATACCTTATGCATATCTGATTGTTTTTGTTGCTGTCCTATCCCGGATACAGTCGGCTGTGAGTGAGCTGGCAGTATACTAGACTGAGAGTTGATCACGCCTAGCGGACTGAATACGAACGTTTGATTCTGGGTCGTCGGGATAGCCGGGATAGTTGTGTATCCCGGGAACGGAGCTACATAAAAAACATATATCAACAACATACAATAACACTATAATTAACATATCAACATATCAAACAGCCAACATCCTCAAAACTGAACAAAACTACGTGCGAATATGATAGTGAATGAATGTGGTATAAATTAATATATCTTTGGTTATATTAAACAAAAATGGAATATATATAAAGCTGATACATAGTTGCCATTTATGAATGAATTTAACATATATTAATAATAAAAATAATAATCTTGAATGACTTCGGATATGATTATTAACTTACGTGTAAAGCTTAAAAAAAATAAACATACTACCATCTAAAAGCTATACCTAGAGCTCTATGATAACAACAAAAGTCATAAGCTTTATATAAACACAAATAACAATATGGAACCCCGAAATAAAAAACAAATTATTGACATTCACTTCCAATAAATCACGAGACTTTAAATAAAATACTTAAACCGTTCAACATTTTTATAAACCTTGATCCTGAAATGTAGTTAGACCTGCAAAATTAACTATACAACTAAATGGAGATACTGTCCAATTATTGAACCATTTTAAACCTTATAAATATGATATTAAGATTTAAAATATATTTTGTGATGATATACCATACCATTATAGAAGTTGAGTGTTTGAAAAAAAAAAATGAAATGTACATATATGAACTTCTTTGTTTTTAAAACTCACATACATATATAACCTTATTTGTTTTTTTTTTACACATGCTTTTACAGTTTGTGCCAAGACACATGATATAATATATATTTTTAATTTTATGAAGTACTTTAATATAATTTCATTATATTCATTAGACTAAGATCAAAATTATTAAGTGAATAAAGCTAGTTTGTAGCTGTTAACTGTTAAAAGACTATTTTTTTTTTCAAAAACTCAATTTCTATGGTTTTTTTTCATCCTATCATATTTAAGTATTCATGATATATATACACAAGTGTAACTCACCAGCCTGCCCTTGTAGCACTTGTTTTCCCTGGGTCGTCAACATGTGTGGAGCGAGTTGGTTGCCCTGGAACGGCTTCCCAGCAGCAATGACCTGGTAAAAATATCACAATTATATAATGGATATACCGATTTTTATTAAATCCCTACTAATTAATGCGAAAGTATCTCTATCTGTCTGTCTGTTACGCCTAAACCACTGAACTGATTTTAATGAAATTTGGTACAGACAGAGTTGACCTTGAGAAAAAACATAGGATAGTTTTATCCCAGACTTTTGAAAGGTTCTCTTGGAAATTTGACACAACCGAACTCCACGCGAGCGTAGCTGCGGGCGGAAAGCTAGTTAACAATAAAACACATATTTATATAGCTTTAGAAGAAATAAATCCAAAACTGTTTTACCGACATATAAGTCAAACTACTTAACGATAGATGGCGTTCATTAGCAACGCTAAGTAAATTGTTCAACACGATTTACCGAATAAAACCAACGAGCAAAATCAATAGATTTTGTATTTATTCTTGTTTTAAAGTCTATATCACACCGTACTAGCCACAATAAGACTGATACAGAATCCTCGTAGCAATTTTATTCGCGTCAACTTCAATGTCAATAAAAAAATATAGGATAAAAACCATGAAAAACGTATGAATTTAATTTTAATTTATTTAAAAATATAAACGTTTTACAATGTACATTTACAATGTTTATTTAAATAACAAATACGGATAGGACGTATGTAACTTTGAAGGATTCATTTTATTGTTAGATAGTACATAAATTGTTCACTTTTTCGCACATACATATATGTAGTTAGTTTTTTAAGACACTACCAATTCATAATCTTTCATACAAGCTTAAATACAGTTGCGAATTGAGCGTTAATCCAGCGATTTATTACACCACATTTCTTAATCAGACTTAAATAAGCTGAACTACAAATCTTTTTATTTAGCCATTTCTTCTTCTTCTTCTACCTGGCAATTTCCCAGCTTTAGCCAGGGTCTGCCTTACATTTAGTGACTAGTTTTGGCTAATTGTTTTTACGACCTGCCTGACAACAACCCTCTTTGGGAATGCATTAATCAGTAATGTCTAAATACTCTTAGAAAATACATATGATTCGGAAAAATAACATTGGTACTTGCCAGGATCGAACCCGCGCCCTCGTGCATGAGAGGCCTTTTAACCGCTAGGCCACCACTGATTTTTATTATTATTATTATTTTATTCAGCGATTTATTAGCTGGAAATGTACGGTATAGTTAATTTACCTGTATCTGTGGCGAATTGATTCCAGGATGTAAAGCTATATTCCCCGGCATTAATAACGGCCCTTGAGCATTGTATAGCTGTTGAAGGTACGTGCTGTTCTGAAGAGGCTGCTGAATAACCTGCACTCGACTGTGACCCCATTCAGCACTGATAATATAAATATACATATTAGTATAATAGTAATTTACTTAATATAGGCATATCCAGATGTATACAATAGTTGTTCTAGAACTCGTAAATTTAGTTCACAAGCTAGAAAAATTGGTGTGACTGACAAATATATACATTTTTTTAGTACAATCTTTAATGATTACATAAGAAAGTATGCTAGTATATACATTGATGCTTTCTCATTTCATGAGCTGTTACAGATGAATTTTACTAATATTATAATTGCGAAAGTTTGTAAGTATGTATGTTTGTTGCTTCTTCACGCTCAAACGGCTGAAGCGATTTTGATAAAATTTTGTATACAGGAAGCTGACGTCCAGGAATGACACATAGGGTACTTTACATCCCGGAAATCCGCGGGTAACACCGGAGCGCAGTTAGTATTAAATATTTGGTTAGAATCAAGTTTTTTAAATTCGTCGTATAAGACATAGAAATATATGTGAATTAATTTAACCTTATCTGTTGCGGGTGTTGAGTGTTAGGTAGACTCTGTAATGGCGGCATCGCGGCCTGTTGTTGAAGGCCCCCAGAACTCTGTTGTTGCACCTAGACACGGATTAATACGTATTAAACACAACTATGACGTCCAACACACTAAAATTATAGACAGCGAACATACTAAACTTGAATACGTATGATTTAACATAGATTGAATATGGAACAAATATACGCGTTACTTGTATCATGTATGGAACTTTCTGGAAACATCTCGATGTTTCGAAACATGTATGAATTATTGATAGGTATTAGATATTAATCGATTTGATATTAGTATTCTAACTGTACTTATAATTTATCTGTTGTGGATATGTTGGGTTATATTATTCTATAGGTCCTTGTGCCACGCCCTTTGTGAGATTCGGTTAACGCTCCCCTATCGAAGGGGAGTAGCAATTGTGATTCTGACTTGCACCCCTACACTCTTTGTACGTACGTATACCTATAGTACTTAACCGATTGATTTTATTAAAAAAAGTATACATATATATATAAGATTTTTTTTTGGATTTAATTAGAAAATTATATATATAAAGAGGATGTAATCAAATAGATTAAAATTAGTTTTGAATGTATGTAAGTCGATATCGGGGTGAAATTAGCAATTAGCTGCGGAATGATGAAACCCTTCTATAAAAGCGACGGTTAAGGGTTGAAAATGAGATTGGCTTTGGTAACTAGCGATTAGTAGGATCATGTATTAACTACATTACCATAATTAAATATACTAGCAAGATATCCTTCTTCTAACATATATGTATATATGTATTTTGAATAAGTTGAAAGTATATAACGTAAATCCAAAAGTTATAGTTTGATTAATTTTATATGATACGGCTTATTCTACTATACATATAAAACATATATTTCATAAACTACTAATATAAAGATTTCAAATCAAAGCTTAGACGATAATAATTTAAGTAAAAATCCATTAAATTAATCAATCAGATGAGATCATAGTGAAAATTCTTATCATTTATTTATACCTACCTTTAATTTACTATTGATTAGTCTAAAATTGTATGTGTATCTTTTCTTGGGGATCCTCAAATAAATAAATACCTGGTGTGGTGCCATACTGCTTGGCATCGAGGAAACAACTGTGACTGTCTGATGATGCTGGGTCGGCTCATGTTGAGACATATTGATCTGCTGTTGAACAACCTGCGCCTGACCATCGACTATCTACAATCAAATAACACATATATAATACAAACATAACATAATATTATTATTAAATACATAAATATTTAACTACAATATTTATATAGCTATGGTTTTGAATGATTAGTATGCATATAAATAAAGATATATGTATCAACAAAATATATATAGAGTAAAATTTAATATTATATACTAAGCGATGGATATTGTCACAATATGTGCATGATAGCTGTTTATAAGTAAATGCACAAGCAACATATATTAATAATTTATATATAGTATATAAAGAGAGCATGCTAAGTAAATATAGTGTTGTGATTAGTTATTAATATGGTCACAAGTTATGGTCCCAGTGAATATGTTATGTTCCTATTCCGAGGCCCTCACTAACCTGTTGAGGCTTAATGTCTCCACTCATGCTGGCCTTTTGATTTTTTTCGTAAAGTAGATTAACGTTATTTTGTGGTGAAGCGAGGAAACTGAGATTGATCTCGCCGATGCCGGGTACGTTAAACTGCTGTGTATGTACCGGCTGATTCACAACCTGGCAATAAATTATACTCATAGTCTCATATGTAATTTCTTATACTATGATATATTTTAATATGGAGACTAGCTATGGAGAATCCATCATCACAATTCCCTATTCATTTTGTTTGTCATACACCATACTACAAAATATATTTCCATACACAGAAATTCTTCCTTACAACATTTTTGGACACTGGGACCAGATATAAACTAATTGTGTTAGCATACAATAAATTCTAATACACACAAAAAGATTCGTCACACAAACCCATGATTAATATGCTTTATGTTTTAGTGCTTCCATATAGAAAAATGTATTTTTCAGTATTAACCTGAAGAAATTTCTGCTGCTGTAGGTCTTGTTGCTGTGATAATTGCTGTATATCAGTTTTAGCTTGCTGTTGCTGTGATTGTTGCTGTTGCTGCTGCTGTTGTTGTTGTTGTTGTTGTTGCTGCTGCTGCTGTTGTTGCTGTTGATGCTGCTGCTGCTGTTGAGCTTGTTGTTGAGCGTGATGCTGTTGTTGTTGTTGAAATTGTTTTTGCAACTGTAACAAACAATTAGATTAGTTATATTATAAGGACACAAAAATACATGTAAATGTTAATGATATTGTTAAATCTATATGAATAAATAAACTAACCAGCTCCTGTTGATCCTGTTGGTTTTTGAAGTGTTGCTGTATAGCCTGACGCTGCAACACTTGCTGTTGCAACTGTTGTTGGATTTGTTGCTGTAATTGCTGTTGTTGGAGCTGTTGCAATTGCTGTTGCTGCTGCTGCTGCTGTTGGATTATCTGCTGTTGTATCTGTTCAAAAATATTATGAATTAGTAAGTAAAATGAAATTTATAATTTAAAAAATACTTAATGAATTATTTAAGTCCACTTATATAGAGAAATACATTATATAGATTATATATGAGACTCACTTGTAACTTATCATCTTCTTCCTTTTGATTTCTATAACGATATTCTTCACTTTGATTATGAGTTTCTGGTTCAAGCTTTGGCTGTTTGATCTCCGGTCTACGAAAGTTACTGTTCTGTTTGTCAAGAGCTAAAAGTGTATTAGCAGCTTCATATTTATCCTCAAAAGTGATACCAGCTTTCTCTGCGAGAGTTTCTAAGTACTGTAACGGCCTCTTTGTGGCTTTCGAGTTACCCTTGGGCCTGTCGCTCTGACTGCCACCAGGTGACTGTTTTGGAGCTGTTCTTGTTATAGTAATGCTATTCTTATTAGCCTCATCCTTTTTATCATTTTTAGCTTCTAATGTGAAGTAATTTTTTGGATAATTATTATCTTTGTCCTTATCGACAGTATGATTTGTGTTTTCTATTAATGTTATTGTAGTTGAGTTTGCAACTTTTATTGTCTTTTCAGTTGTCTCCTCTTTTGACTGAATCGATGCACTCGAGGTGTGGGATGCAGATATAAGTTTTGGGACATGCTGAGCTAAAGCATTCTGTACATCAGCTAGGATCTGTTTATCGAGCGGCTTTGCCAATTGCTGTTGAAATCCTGGACTCTGAGGCTGATCCTTGTCTTGGTCTTTCTTCTTTTGAATATTTTCTAATATTTCAGACCTATAAACAAACAATATTAATATTAAGGTCATGGGAAACTAATGAAACTGATTATTACATTTACTTGGGACTAACTTCTTTCATAACCACTTTGTCTCTATATACCTGCACATTTCAGCCATTATTTTGCAAATTAGAATACAAAACTAAATATGCTTTGAACGAATATTTATAGAATACATAAAAACTATAATATATCTTTACACTATGTTTATAATGATATGTTTGTGCATCAGTCAGTAAAAGCACTCGTTAGTAACAAAACAAATAACACGTTCGTGTAATATTCTTTGATCCCGCATCAAACGAAAGATTATAACATATAAATATAAAACTCAGGAGTAAAATCTATTTGTATAAACTTCATTTTAATAAATATAAGTGTAAACTAATACCAATCAGAGCAATTAAATAATTGATAGTCAAATGTCAATATCATACGTCTAACGTCAATGTATCTGAATGACAACTGACAACAATATAGATAGAGCAACGAAAAACCGATGTAAGCTCGGCTGCCGATGGGTTCTCGTTGAAAAATGAACATCAAGAAATAATATATGTTTATATTTTCCTTATTATTGTTAAATACGTTTCGATTACGTGTTTTTGCTCTGTTATCATTATTAACGTTACTTCAACAGTCTCGTCTGTTCAGTCTGCAATTTTATCGATAGCCCTTAAGCCGTAATGTATTTTCCAGTAATTTAAATTTTAACCATTTTTTTTTATTAATATTTCTAAATCGAATACTTTTTAAATGCGAATTATATACACTTATATTATATTTCAAACATGCAAAACAATATTTTTTATGATATTCTATTCCAATAAAACGGTATTAGTGTTTTGATACTTCTCTATAATTAGTAACAAACAGACCCATGCCACATTTTTTTATACGTATACTTACCATCTCCATTATAAATATAGAGCTATGCAGCTATTTAGGGACAGATACCTAAATGAAAACGGGCCGTCAGGCATTATATCACAAGGGGAAGCAAAAAATAATGAAAATGTGCGAGCAAGAGGGCCTTATGCATACGCGTGTGGCGAATGAAAGAGATAGAGGCAGCACACTAAGGGAGTTGGAGGGCGAACCGGTTCTGCATGTGTGCAGACAGACGTTACCCTTCCCCCTTCCCTCGCCAGCCGACCCTCGGCTACGAGGGCCGTGTATTGTCGGCTTTCCCCGAAGCGTTGCAATAATAATAATACCAACTTACTCCCCTTACTAAACGATCAAAATGCCCTTGCCAAACAATATATTTTTTCAAAGAGCTTAACATTTAATTCATATGTACTATAGGTACATGGGCTAACACTGATGCTTTTACGATGTTAGACCTTTCCATTTCTTCTCGTGCCTATTGAAAGTTAACTTGCAACCGACGTTGGCACGATTGTTAAAGCGCGAGTCACACTGATGACGAATAGATATTTTAGCCCACCATCAAGCCACACGCGACGCATTCAACCACACTGATTCGCAATCGTAAAGTAAAAAATAACATAAAATACCTTTTGGTGTAAAAACCATAAGAACAACGTTCCATCGTTTCAAAATAAAGGGTTAACTTAAACGTAAGCGCCGACCCATGCGGCAGTAATTAAAAGAAAAAACAAATAAAAAGGTAAGGATCGAGACATTCGCACAGGTGAAAGTGAACACGACACGTATTATCGACGAAAACGACATACAAACACACTTTATCGATAGTCCGGTTCTCGTCTCATTGTAACAATAACCTTCATTCCGAATGGCGAAACACTACTGTGGAGAATGCGCGCGTTGCGAGCTACCACCGTCACGCCGCACCTATTCCCCTCGCCTCCCCTCACCCCCCCTCGACTCCCCCGTTAGCTGAACGCTCTCTATCACGCATCTCCAATGGTACGCCCGCTACGGATTCTGATGTTTCATTGGTCGATTTACTTTACGACCGTTCCACAAACAAAACCGGTTACCATGAACAGCCTGCAAGGGCGCGAGGAACGAAATTAGCGTTTCTGCATTATTATTATTATTACTGTTGTTATCTCACTCTGTCCCTTTTTAAAAATACCGTGTAACAATGTCATATTCCCATTTGATCCGTCACATTTAGATATTTCGTTGATATTTTAATAAAATAGAAACAGGAATTCACAGTACCTAGATACCAAATTGAAATAAGAGTATTTCGGTTATCTAAAAGAGCTACCACTATTATGTTAAATCCTTAACTCGCTTTTGTAAATTTCGTACTGGCAATTAACAAAGAGTTAAAAAAAACTTCCTAAAACATAATAAAAAAACCAGTTCTGTATTGTTTTACGTCCAATAAGGTCCAAAATGGCGAAATATATTTTATATTATTAGGGCTTCGTCACCACAAAGGCTTCTCTATGCCACCCCTCTAATCCACGTCTACCTGGGTTAGGGTGAAAGCACCCTATTTCGATGAATACAGCTACATTTCAATAGGTGCTACATAGACGTACCAATACCCATACGTATGATTTCCATGTAACACATTTTTGTGCCAGGTATATAAAGAATTTAATTTATTAATGGTTGCTTTTATCTGTCATAATTACGTTTTAGACATGAAATTACGAATTAAAGGCGTATAATATACACTTATTAAAGTTTTCTTGGTAGAGTAAGGTTATGTTAGAAAGCAATATCTATAATTACGAAAAACATTGGTTAATGTATACGGAATAAATTTTATAAATGTAAGTGAAGCCGATTCGATTCATTAAAATTCCCAGAAAAATCTAGATTGTAACCAACTGTTCGTTTTTGATGCTTAATTAGATCGTGGGGGCAAAAAAAGCTCCTGCTGTTAATTTGGTACAGCGCCATCTTTGTAACATAAGAAAAATCAAACAACGCCATCTGCACATTATATCGAGAAGTTGTTGGTAGAGTCGTTGAGTAAAAATAAGTCGTATGTTTTACCGTACATTTTAATAATAAAATTACACATTGCTTGGATTTGCAAAGTTTAAAAAAAGTTATATTTTTCTTTTTTTCCTGATTCCAGGCTCAAACTTTATGCTAAAAGTCACATAAATATTGTGTGTTGCATATATACATATAAGAGGATTTGTCTAAAATTATTTAAATATTTAATTTATTTTTAACACTTTGGAATATTTTATAAATGTAGAGTTTTCTATTGTCACTATTCTTTTAAAACCATATTGAAAAAAATAAAAAAAACAAACATTATATTATGGAATATATATATTTGGCACTCGGAATATACTATTTTCTTTATAGTTTACACGTGATTGTCAAATAACAGTGTTAAAATGAAGTTACTGAAACAAAAAGTTAATTATATATGTAGTTAGAAAAATATATAGTCTAACGATCAGGGTAAATATTATCATTAAACTAATAATACGATATTGAATCTTATAACTACGGAAATAGAGCTTAAATACTTTTCTTATATTCTTTGAACCTTAAAATTTCCTCAATATATTATCATTGCTGGTCAAATCCCCTTATCTAATTCGTGAAGAAGGCTTAAAAAGAATATAATAGCATTAATTCCTAAAATTCTACCTGAAGAAAGGCGTATAACGTTTGGGTCGTTCCCATCCTTTTGTAATAATATATTAAAAATTCTTTTTTGTCGCTTAATGTCCGAGCTATGTTTGGGAGGAGCGTAAACCAACAAATAGTGCCGCCATCTTAGATTGTAATTTAAAAATGACGTTTTAATTTAAAAAAAAAAAAACTTTACATAAGAAAAAGTTTTGATAGTTTAAAAAGCTATTAAAAATAATCTATTTGATTGAATACATATATTATTATACGTTATAAAATGTTAATCATTACTTTTATGCGTACGTGAATTGAGACGAAAGTTTATTACAAACATGTATATTAGCCGGTGAATTGTGTTCCTTATACGATGTCTTTCCTAAAACCTCGCAGTAGTTCCTTTTCATTATTATTCCACACCACACGTAGACTTTTTCTGTTTCTTCCTTCATCCATTATTCTTTTTTTATCTCTTTCACACTTATGGACGGTCATTAGCAGTCTCGCTTGCTCATGGCGTGGGTGTAGGCCCATCGGACAACGACCTCTACAACAGCTGTATTCGACATAATAATAATAATAATTACCGAAACTAACTTATATTAAACTTGTTGTTAATTAGTAGTGGTTTCATTAGATATATTTTTTATTATTGTAACATTGCCAAAAAATATTTCATCAAATATTGACAAGAAGAACAATGCCTAATATTGTCATCTACATTTCCAACTTAAAAGTTGGGAGTCTCAAGAGCTTAAGTTTATGAAGGGTGTTAAATAATGAGGTGGTGATTTTTTTAAAGCTAAGTTGCCATTTTTCCCATTTGTCCTAATAATTAGCTACATTAATTATCTTTTATGGTTAATTTATATGTTCATTGCTTATAATCTATTTTTAATTTTAATATTTTACCGTTAAAACACGTTCTATCACCTACCTTAAAATTAAAAAAAAACTTTTTTATATAGATATCGCATCTACCAATTATAATTAAAACATAAGGCTTACCATATCGAAGATAAAATGAATTTTAAGATATTTGTAAAACTGAATGTTGACAAGCTAGGTAAGAAATAACTTACAATTGTAGTTGAAAAATTAAAACTGTCAAGTTCTAATGACAGACCTAGAAAAAACTTTTGGCGCCATTATTATCATACATTTTGAAGTTACCTGGCAAAGCACTTGTAATTATAATGTACGGTGTTTAAAAGCTAATCTTTTTAGAAAAATTTGGATATTGGCTAAGGTTGAAGTATCCTAGTTGTCTCACTCAAAATGTAATTACTAATTTGTTATTAAGACAATACCATTTTCTTATAATATAGATATAATATTAAAAAAAAATCATATTTTGATCAGGTGAATATATATTTTTTAAATATGTAATGCTATTGCAAATGTAACCGGTTCTTAATGTTTTTAAACAAGTTGTCGATATTTTTATATCATAATAAATTAAAATTTATTAAATAATCTAACTAACGTTGTAAGCTTTACTTGTTGACTGTTAAAATGGATTATCTAATTAAAATAAATATCAAAAATTATTCTAATTGGAAATTGGCCAAAATGCTATAATAGTTGAAAAAGCTTTGAGCACCTACATCTAAATCAAAAAATAATGTCTATTATTCCAGATTATTCTTTAACATAACCTCCGATAATTTTTGATAACTAAATCAATTTCGAATTAAATGACCATATATGTATGATTGTTTTCCAGTTCACACATGGAAGCATGTGAGAGATTTTACAATAAAAAAATATATCGAAGATGTATTTAATCTAGTTCAACTATATTTATAAAAAAAAGTTTTATTGTCATTCCGCCAATTCATTTGTGACAGACTTCTCTTTCTTTCATTTCTCTTTCTCTTTCCCTCTTTCTATGGTTAAGTTTACGCATTTGTCAAAAACAGATTTATTTCAAAATTTCTATGAAGGTGTCAAAATTAGAAAAACTACATTTAATTGTATATTGAACACATGAACTCACTTTTATTTATAACAACATTAACTAATATTGGCTACAACTCAATTAAATAGCAGTTTTTTATACATTGAAATTAATTTCGATATTTAGTAAAGGTCCGATGTAAGAATTAGTTGTACATGCTGAGTTTATCCTTATTCTGTTGTTGTTTTAACTATATTGTAGATAAAAGTATTTGTCAAATATTCCTGTTCTCTACAACAATATTATTAGCATATTCTACATATATTCCATTTTGTTTCTGTCTAAAACTTCACATTAATGGTTCTCTTGGAAGTTATTGAACGGTTTTATAGTTTTTTAAGAATAATTTTAGTTCTGTGACGTCATGATACCACTTCTAAACGTAATTTTGGCAATCATTTAATTCCGCTTATCACTAAGTATACTTCTTTAAGTTCTTTATTACGGAGACATTCTATTCATTTTAAAAGATTTGTATTATAATTCTCCTTTTTTGTTGGTAATTACTTCTTCCATTTTATTCTTCATAACTATTCAAGTTACGGCTTAAAGTTGTACTAACATAACTACCTCTGAGTAATCTGGACTACGTTTTCGACTAAAGACGAAAATCTGCTAGAATCCAGTTGAAATTAGAAACGGGTTTTGTAAAGTGCAATACACACAATGGATTACATACTTAGAGGCTAGAACCTACATGATGAAGGAGTGAGTAGGCTTATAGTTTATGATGT